GGTTTAGAGGCCAGTGTCTCTCTCTCACACACACACCAAGACAACCCTAATCTGCCTTGTGCCATCAGGCAATATGGAAGAAGGGGACTAGGCTGCACTCTCTGCGCCCTCCCTTTCCTCCCTTCCCATCTCCATCTTTGCATGAATTAGGTCCTGGAACATTCACATGTATACATGTATCTGGGGGGGTGGGAGAACTCTCTCTCTCTCTCTCTCTCTCTCTCTCTCTCTCTCTCTCTCTCTCTCTCTCTCTCTCTCTCTCTCTCTCTCTCAGAGAGGAACTGAAGAGCGAGGCTTGAAACATTACTGGTTCACATCCTGGCCTGACCAGAAGACCCCGGACCGGGCACCGCCACTCCTGCACCTGGTACGGGAGGTGGAGGAGGCAGCCCAGCAAGAGGGACCCCATTGTTCTCCAATCATCGTTCACTGCAGGTAGGTTTTCCTGTCCACGCACTGGGGCGGAGCCGCCCCCATGCCTGGGCTACTGCGCCCCTCAGCCCGTCAGTGCAGGCATCGGGAGGACCGGCTGCTTCATCTTCTCAACCCTCAGTGCAGGCATCGGGAGGACCGGCTGCTTCATCGCCACCAGCATCTGCTGTCAGCAGCTGCGGCGTGAGGGCATCGTGGACATCCTGAAGACCACGTGCCAGCTCCGTCAGGACAGGTCAGCCACTGGTCAGGGGGGGAGGTGGCGGCAGTGTGACGTGTGCATGAATCCAGGGGCAGCTGACAAACCGGACACACAGTCTGTAAGGCGGACGGGGAGCAGAAAATAAAAACAAACGGGAGAGCGCAGAGTCCAGGCAGCTCTCTGGAGGAAGAGAAGACAGGCAGATAGAAAGGAAAGGGGGGTGGGGCTGAAAACAAGGGTGTGTCCCTGAAATGAGGGGGCAGAGGGCAACGGCTGGGAAGAGTTAGTCTCCCTAAGCTACAGAATAGCTGGTGGTCCTGGTGTTTGAGGGCCCCTCCCGCAGCCCGCTGCCTCTCTGCTGGCCAGGGGCGGCATGATCCAGACGTGCGAACAGTACCAGTTTGTGCACCACGCCATGAGCCTCTATGAGAAGCAGCTGTGCCACCAGTCCTCAGAGTGACTACACTCTTTCTCTGAGCTCCTCTGCCCACTGCCCAGCCTGCGCCTGGGCCTTCATCCCAACCACCCAAGATCTGGCCTTGGGTCCTGGGCCTGCTCCCTGTCCCTTCCCCTCACACTCTTCCTTCTCCTCAGTCTGCTCCCCCTCTTTGCCCTGGCCTGGCCCCTACCCCCACCCTAGCTCTTCTACTGTACATACTGCAGACTTGGGGAGGGCAAGGGAAGAATGTGCCAGGCCAGGCCTGAGGCCCCTGGGCCTGACCCACACCATACAGACCTGGGGCCTCAGTTTTAACCATGGTTCCACTGCTACCTGGCCCAAAGCGTTTCCACGCCACACCCCCAAGCTTCCTATCACTGTGCGTTCTGTCTGCCCATCCATCTCTGCTATCTGTACCAGACACTGTGTCCCTCAGCCAGGGAAGGAGCAATGAACTGAGCTCTAGCCCCTCGGTCCCCCAGCCCCACCAGTTCCTCTGAAAGGGCAGGCTGCATTTTGCCACCAGGATGTGGATGGCGGGAATAGGATCCAGAGGCCAGGCAGGAGAGCATGTGATGGTTGACAGAGAGATCCCGGCTAAGGAAGGTTCCTGGGCAAGGGCTGACATTACTCCAGACAGCCTCTGAGCGTTCGATACTCTCAGGAGGCAATGACCAGCCTGTGGGGCACTGGAGAGGAAGAGGACAAATGCAGCAGGGGAACCCCAAAGAGCCGGGCCCTGAGGGGGGCCTTCAAGGGTAGGATGGGGACTCAACTCCAGACCTGTAAGACATCTTTCTGTGTCACTATGGGAAAGCCCAAAAGTCTTGCTGCGTGTTGCTCTGTGTGTGTTCCCTGTGTCCGTGTGTGTGTTGAGAGCCCATGAGCAGGGCATGCATGACTCTTTGGCAACATGTGTTATCTTGGAGCCACGTGTTTTTATTGCTGACTTTAACTATTTATTCCACGGCAAACAGAGACATTTGGTGTCTTTTTATAACTCGCTCACGGTCATTGAATAGAGCAATAAACAGAGCATTTTGAGCATAACTAAGTCTCCTGGATCTGTCATTTCCAGTTGCCTCTATTCCCAGCCTCCTTGCACCTCAGGATTTTGTGCCTCTCCTTCTCTGCCCATGCACATAAAGTTGGCCCTCTTGCTCGCTGGTGCCCCCCTGTGGGGATTGGGAATATAGGCGAAGATGGATTTGAAAACCTGGTCTATTAATACCTCAGGATTCTTACTCAGTCTTCAGTCCCAGTCCGCAGAAGTACACTGCACCACAAGGAACCTCACGGATGGGTATGAGAAGCTTCTGGGAAGGCAAAGTAGCTAGCAGGCCACCAGCTAGAGAGCTGAGCCAGGGAGGCCAGGCATGGAACAAGGGGACATTCCCATTCACACCAAGGCCTCTCTCTGGTTGGATAGTTAAGTCCTTTTCTCTGGGACCCCATCTGCGCTTCAGACACCCTTATTTTTTTTCCTATTGTATGTGCCGTCCTCTCCGTGATTGAATCTTTGAAAGCCCTGCTGACTGGCCAGCAGCCTGCCCCGGGGTGACCTCCATTTACCATCAGTGGCTGACAGCTACTTTTGCTTCACCCCATGGGCAGGGGAGAAGAACAGAGAAGTGTCCCAGATGGCTTAGGATCTAGTTCCCTGGGGCCCTTTGGGAGGGGCTACTCTGAGCTCAGGCCTTCCGATGGAAACTGCTAGAAACTGCAGCTGTTATTGGGCCCCATAGGGCCAACAAGAGGTAAGGGGACTGGTCCAACAGGTCCAAGGCAGGGCTGCCAGCTCACAGAGATCTCCCTCCCGGAGGATGGGTCGCTCTACCCAGATTTCAGAGACTGGAGGGAGGAATGGGAAGGAGCAGAGCTAATGCCATCCCCCTACCCCATACGGCCACTCAATGCAGACCAAATGGTGGTCCCAGGGTTTGTGCAAAGTGTCACATCCACAAGACTCACCCAGTGTACCTCTTCCCAGTCCTGGGGAGACAAAGGCCTTTGGCTTAGCCCCCAACCCTGTCGCCCTGCACGTGTTCATGTGTCCAAGCAGGGACAGCGACCCTGGGCCCCTCAGCTCAAAGAAGCCCTACCCTGCAGCAGTGAGAAACAGAGCAGAGCCTCAACCATTGGGCACAGGAAATGGACTCCTGGCCTGCCACCTCAGCTTCCCCCCCGCCTGGTCCCCAGCATTCAATCCATTCCTGCATCCAACTTGCTTCCCTCCCCCAACTCCCCAACTGTGTGTCACCAAGCTGAAGGACAAGTCTAAGAAAGCCTTCCCCAAGGGTGTGGCATCTAAGGGATTGGTGACGATCAGTGCCCACTGTTGGAATGAAGAAGGAGGCCGTCCATCCTACAGCCAGGGCAGCGGCTGGGCCTCCAGGCCGCAGGCACAGCATTCGGGGGTTGGAAGACTCGGGTTAGCAAAGAAGGTAAGGCCCCCTGTCATTCCCTCTGGAAAGAGACACAAACTGGAACTTTCTGTGCCAGAGGGGGAGATGGAGTGAGGCAGAACGCGGCATGCTCTTGGAACCCAGAGACAGAACAACCCAGGTGAAGAAATCGGGAGTTAGCCTCAGACCGCCCACTCAGAAGAAGGCCTTGGATTCTCTGGAGGGGCAAGAAGCTCAGATTCTGTTCTGGGTGGCAATTTGGATAGGTCACTTCAATCAGACACGTTTCCCCATATGCAAAATAGGTTCTTAAAAGCCACCACATAGCCGGGCGTTGGTGGCACACGCCTTTAATCCCAGCACTCGGGAGGCAGAGGCAGGCGGATCTCTGTGAATTCAAGGCCAGCCTGATCTACAGAGCGAATTCCAGGACAGGTCCAAAACAATACAGAGAAACCCTGTCTCGAAAAACCAAAAATAAAAAAATAAAAAATAAAAAAAGCCACCACATAGTTGGGCAGTAGTGGCGCACACCTTTAATCCAAGTACTCGGGAGGCAGAGGCAGATGGATCTCTGTGAGTTCCGGGCCAGCCTGGTCTACAAAGCTACACAGAGAAACCCTGTCTTGAAAAAAAAGACCACCACAAAGGTTAACTAGGAGGCAGGTGCATCCGTTCGCTGACACACCGGTGCTGTCATCAGGAACAACAAAAGGCCTTGTAAAACGGTGTACAGAGATCTCCAAGGCACAGAGCAGGACTGTGTATGACAGGCCGCCTGGCATGTACAATGGGAAGACCCCTGTCTGTGTCTGAATGGAAGGGCTCCAGGGACAACCCCAGATTGCATGCAGGTCTCTATCTGGAGGACTGAGCGGTGGGAAGAAAGCGTATATGGCATCTTATGTTTTTAATATATTGAACTACTGGTTCAAAAGAAGTATAATAAATGAAAGCTAAGCCTCTGCCTTTGTCCTGTGACAAGTGAAAACAGAGCTGTGGAAACACAGTCGCCTGTCTCACCATCCCAAATACCATGCGCCCCCAGGACCCAGAAGGATTGGCTGGTCAGCTTCCTTGAAAGCACAGTCAGGGATCTCTCCTTTGGCCTGACCTCATTCCCTCCTCATGAAATGCTCAGCACTGTCTTCCTCTGCCATGCACCTCTCGACAGGTGCGCCAGGTAAGTCTAAGCCCCATCTCCTCCCTCTCCAGGAACCTGGGGCTGTTTGTGTTGCTGGGTGAAGGGACAAGCCCTTGTAACCTGTCGGGGAAAAGTAAATGGGAAACGAAGAAAAGAGAAGTCAGAGAGTAAAGGTCGGTTGCCTGACTGTTTCTTTTGCCGTGGGTTCCCTTCACCCTTGGGTCTGTAGACACATCACATATGCACATGTGCGAGCGCATGCACACACACACATACCTCTGAAGACCCCTCCTACACACACACACACACACACACCTCTGAAGACCCCTCCTACCCCCTCATCTTCAGTGACCTCATCCTCTCTGCAGTCCACACAGGGTGAGTGCCCAAGCCTGCTGTCACCATGACGACTACTCACCTCCAGCAGATGGTACAGGAATATGTGTCCATGGAGTTCTCCAGCTACACCCCCCATGTGTAGACCTCTCAGACAACTGAGAGGATGGGAGGCAGTGGAATGGGTGAGGGAGTATGAAGGAAGGACAGGAAAGTCTTCCTTCTTCTGTGCCCATCCATGGGTGGCCTCCGTCTTTGCCATGAGTTGGCCCTTCAGGAGACCCCAACACCTGCAGTAACCTCCTCCCAACCTGTGCTTCTAATCTAAGGCTTGAGCTGGATGGCCAAATCTGAGGAAAAACAGATTAGGAAAAACACAAATCCCACAGATGTGTGTAAAACGTTGATAAATCCTTGAATTGCTTAAGACATTCAGAGCCAGGGGCAAAGGGGTTACGTGAATGTCATGCTTGCAGGAAGGTAGACACCTTACCTACATTGAGCAATGCTAATCCTGGTTCGCTTAAGAAATGGGAGACCTAGCCACAGGAAGAGGCAAGACAAACCACACAAGCAAATGCCCTGAGCAGCCAGGCTTGAAGGCGAGGTCACCAATGGCAAGCTGAGAAAGGGGTCTCAGGAAGGACGGACTGTTTCAACTGCATCTCTGGTGGAAGCCGCTAAAAGATGGCTGGAGGCCAAGGTATCTTTCCTCACAGCCATTGCATTTACCTTCAAGGTCCCAGAAGGACAGAGTCTCTCTAAGTCCTCTGTGTACAAGGTCATGAGAAAAAAAAAAAAAAAACACCATACGGCTCTGGCCAGTGAGACAGAGCCTTGAAGTAGATCAGCCAGCACTCAAGATCTATGGTCTAGACCAAAAATCGCAAAATGGTTTATAATCCTCATTCTCAGCCCTGGCTGTGAATTAGAGCCATCTCAACCTAGGGGTGGGGCTAGAGAAGCTAGCCATGCCTGAGTCTCTCCCAGACCATTAAATCCGGAATGTTTTTTAAGCTCCTCGGGGATCCTGGTGTGGAGCCAGGGTTGACTGGACTAAGCAGCAGTCCAGGCAGGAAATGGGGAAACACAAATGTGGGAGGGAAAGCGGGGGACGCTCAAGAGGACCCCCTTCTAAAGAGACAGCCATGGCTCCCCTCCCACTAGCCAGCAATCACAGGTGACATCTTTCCTTTCTCATGGCTGGCTACTTCCTTTACACAACGTGGAGGTCCAAGACAAGACATCTGCAGGCAAAGTACGGCCTCCACGCCGCCGCCTGTTCAGAACTCTAGTTGCTATTCAAAATCAAGCCGAGGGCTTCTTAACAAAATGTTTTCCATCTCAGCCTGAGTGCAGATAACAAAAGCACCTACTTCCCTGGCTGCCCTGAGGATTAACAAAATCACCTCTGACATGTGCCTCACACAACCCAGGGCACAGGGGAAGGGCTTTGAAACAGAGCAGTTATTATTCACTGGTAACTCATCGGCCATGAAGATCTGGGCAGTCATAGAGTACTGGCCGAGGACGTGTGAGGCCCTGAGTTCACTCCCAGGGATGGGGTGACATACGCTCTGTCAGTTAAGGAGATATACATAGACAGCCCCTCTGGATTGTCAATGTGTCCTGTCCTCACCCAGGAATCACTGCTTCCAAGGAAACTAATGCTGAGCTCACAGACTGGCTGAGAAAAATCCAGGACAGAGTTCAGCTAAGCTGCAGCCCTCCCAGGGAGAAGCGGGCCCGAGTACCTTTTACTAGGGGACCAGAACTCCCAGGAGAGAAATTCAAGAGAAAGAATGGTAGGTAAGTAGATAGATGGATGATAAAAGGATGGATGGATAGATAGACAGACAGATAGATAGATAAATAGATATCCATCCTAAAAGGAAAGTCTCATTTTATATATCAGTATGAGAGTCAAGATGGCCCTGGTACCTGAAATTTGATAGAATTTGATGACTATCAATTCTGGCCACAGATGGTTTCCTATTCCCTCTGGCCCTCACTGGCCCTTGCTATCCATGCTCCACCCACTCAAGCAATGTGATCCTTTAATCCCACGATGAAATCCCACCTAGAGTCTTTCCAGATGTCTCGCTTGGCCCACAGGAAGTGTGACGAGAAAGTTGTCCAGCACAGTGTCATTCTTCCCTTGCGGACCTGGAGTTCCAAGCACCCTGCCCGGGGAAGTGTCCCAGACTTCATGAGAAACCTCTCCCGTCATCTCTCCTGAGGGTATGCCTCTCCCTGTGTCTCCTCTATTCCTCTCTCTTCTCCAGCCCCCTCCCCAGTGTCCCCCAAATACACAAGCTGAGTATTGTATCCCTGCCTGCTCCAGGCTGGACCCAGCAACACGGGAGGAGGGAAGGAATGGGCAGTGCTTCCAGCCTACAGGCTGTGAAGTAAAACATGGCGTGTTTCCACCATAGGGAACAAAGCAGTGTTCAGAGCCCAGGTGCAGGGAAACCTCAAACCCCACTGTGTCCTGGACGAGGGGAAGGGGAAAATTGCTAAGATCTTCTAGGACCAAATCAACAAGAAACACATGCCGAATATGAGGTTGGACACCAAGGAGGTAGAGACCTAGACACCTCCCATCCATCACTCACCCCACCCGAACCCCTGCCAGGGCCGACTACAGGAAGTCACAGTGTAACCCAAAATAGTGGTGGGAGAAGGGACACTGTGGGATGGGAGAGACCTTGGGGGCTGAGATGCTGCAGGGGAAAGTGACAACCCGGGCCAAGCCAGAAGGCAGTCATCCAGTCAGATGGAGGAAGCATGGAGTCCAGCAGATGAAAGTCAAAGGATCAGCTGATCAAACCGAGGACTCAGGAAGTGGAGAGCTACAGAGTGAGGACAGCAAAGAAAGACCATAATGGATGGAGTGAGACCGTGCCGGGGGGGGACACAGAGTAGGAGTAAGGCCTGGAGGTCCTGGGCCCTCCAGAAGAGCCTTATCATCCTTAAGGTATCACTCTGGATCACTTCCAGAAAAGCGCTGCCCAGCTGCAATGTCTGGCGTCAGGAGGCTCGTGCAAGGCAGAGAGCAGTCCCTGCGAGACCCTACAATTACTAAGGTCTTCCCCACTTCCCACTGCGAAGGGCAAAGTTCAGCCCCCCCCCCAACAGAAGTTGGTTTCTCTTCCCAAAGCCTGGTCTTTGGATTTCCTGCCCACACACAAGCTGTCCTGGAGTCTCCCACAGGGCACCCCTTGCGCAAGGCCAGCCATTCAGCAGGCTCTCTGAAAAGCCCACCTCACTGGGAGCACCATGCAAGCAAGAGCTAGGAAGGTTTTATTCACCCCCGATCCCTCCAGGGTCCAGGCTCATGCCTGAGATGAACAAATAAATTGCATTAAATGTAATTGCATTAAACTTCCCAGTGCAGGAAAATGGAATATAAATTCCAGCTCAGGAGGCCCATGCCCTTCAGGAGCTCATAGCTGAGGGAGGGCCTGGTGGGGAAGCTGACAATGTTGTTGCTGTAGGATTGGGCGGTAGATGCTCATACCCACACTACTTGCCCTGTTTTTCACACATGACTCCAACACTCAGCCCCCTTCCCCCTCCTCTAAAAACTCTCTTTTCCCATCTCATAGAACATAGAACACCCCCCCCCATGGTCTGACTCTGAGCCAGCTGGAGCAGCTGACCTCACATGATTCGGACAACAGGTGTGTTGCAAGCAATGAGCACACAGATGCCATTACACCATCCTGGTTGGTAACAGAGGGCGAGCCTGTCTCTCCTCCTGGCTTTTTCTCCTAGGAATTAGGCATCTGACTTTCTGACTATGCCCTCTCTCTGTCCTCAGGTCAACAAAAAACTCGATCAAGAAGCTGTGGAAGAAGATGGGAGGTGGGTGGAGGGGTCCCCTGCCCAGGATGCAGACTCCCCCCCATCCAACTGAACCCTCTCAAAGAACCCACAATCTTGATCCCCCTCTAACAATCTAGGGCTCCCGGACTCGAAAAATGAATCAGAGAGTGACAGAAAAGAAAGATGCTGGGTTTTTGGGCTGAGGTACTCAAGAAGGACTTTGCAAAGGTCTGTATGGAATGTTTTCCCTGACCTGGGCGAGCTGCTCAAAGGGATGAAGAGGAAAGTGGAAGTGGAGGGGAGGTCAGTGCGCAGCAGGGAGCAGGGGCCTGAGGGTAAAGCCTGGGCTTCTCCCCTGTCCTGCAAGCGAGAGCACAAGTGCACGCTTGCGCGCGCGCACACACACACACACACACACACACGGCAGGCTGTCTACCACAAATGCAGGGAGAGAGACTCTCACCCTCCTACCTCTACTCATATCGCCTCCCCAGTTGCATGCATGTGGATTTAGACAGACCTCGGTTCAAATCCCACTTCCACTGTCTTAGTTTTATCTCTCTGAGTTTCAGTTTCTACAACAGCAAAACTTTGTACTTCTCCCTTGTATTTGTTTATTCTGTTGTCATGCATTGCCTCATTGGACAAACTCTTGCTAAGCACTGACTATGTAATTATAGAGTCTCTGCCCTGGACCCAGGCACGTAATGACTATTCTATGAATGGTGGCGGCTCCTTCCGCATCTCCTGCAATCCTGCTCTTCTGTCTTCCAGTTGATCAATGAGGCAGGGTGTTAAGTAATGAGCTTAAACCCTTAAGTGTCCCTTCCAGGATTATGGGCACAGCCTAGACAGAGTCCAAATGCCTCTGATCCTTGCATTTTGTTGAAAAAAACTCTCTCAGGTCAGTAGGATTCTGAAGCCACTAGAAGACAAAGATCAAGGTTGACGCTCCTATAGTCCTCGACTACATCGTGGAGCTGAAGGACCCCAGTCCTGAGATGGCACCGACCAAGGTGGGGAGCACCTAGCCAGGAACCAGCCCGGCTCCTCCATGGCTGCTGCACCTTCTGCCTTCTCGGACCCTCTCATTAGCTATAAGCCAGGTCCTCTCTTCTAGCCAACCAAGAGGACACCTTCTGATAACATTGAATGAGGCTGCTTCCAGTGGTCCTGAGTTCAATTCCCAGCAACCACATGGTGGCTCACAACCATCTGTAATGAGATCTGGTGCCCCCTTCTGACCTGCAAGGGACATGTGCAGGCAGAACACTGTATACATAATAAACCTTTTGGGCTGCAGAGATGGCTCAGAGGTTAAGAGCACTGGCTGCTCTTCCAGAGGTCATGAGTTCAATTCCCAGCAACCACATGGTGGCTCACAGCCATCTCTAATGAGATCTGGTGCCCTCTTCTGGCTTGCAGACATACAAAGAAATCTTTAAAAATTCTTACTAATCTTTAAAAAAATACTTATTAAAAAAAGAGAGACTGGTTCCTAAACTTATCTTCTAGTTATTTCTACCATTTTCATTTTGATGTGAAATAGTCACTTACCTCTTTCCATGACTTAGTCTAGCCACCTTCAAACAGAAAGCCTGAATTAGATAATCCTGAAGGTCACTGAAGTTCTGCTCCTAGGGTTCATACACATTAAGAATATGTATCTGTGTGACAGTTGTGTAGCTTGGTCTATTTGTGGGACTCCTAACAATGGGAGCAGGGGCTGTCCCTAATGCTCTGCTTGGCTCTTGGGAACCTATTCCTCATACTGGGTTGTCTTGCACAGCCTTAATTCAAGGGGAGGTGCTTAGACTTACTGCTACTTGATACATCACACTTTGCTGATACCCATGGAAGGCCTGCCCATTTCTAACAGAAAGAGAAGAGGGTTGGATGGAGGCGGAACAGAAGGGAGGAGAGGAGGAAGAGGAAACTGCCGTCAGGATGTAAAATAAACATATTATTTGAAAAATAAAAAAGGATGTGGGCCTTATGGGAAGACAGGGCCTTTGTGTCCCACCAAGCTGGATGGTGGAGCTATAGAGATTTATGGGGCCTGAGAATGTTTAAAGGGACACGCACCTCCAGAGTCAGTCATGCTGACTCTGGGGAATGAGGAGCTCAGAGGTCTCTTTCTAAGCGCCTTTGTCGCCTTCCCCACCTGTGAGGCAGGACACTGAGCCTTTCAGGATCCAGTATCCCGTGGGTAAGTGGGAGGTGAGGCAAGTGGGCTCCAGGTACATGCCGGTTATTAGCAACACAAACATGAGCAATGCCAGTGCCTCCAGCCTGACTGTGGGAGGTAATAGGGCGAGTGTCGTGGCAGCCTGAGAACGAGCATGACCCCCCCCAATGGCCCCCAGTTGGCAGAACTGTTTGGGAAGGATTAGGAGGTGTGGCGTGTCGCCGAGGACAGACTGAGGTTCCGGAAACCCATGGCAACCAGGGAAGCTCTCTCTGCCTTGTAGTTATGTCTCGCGATGTGCGATCTCAGCCACGGCTCCAGTCCCGTGCTCCCTGCCATGGTGCCTGTGGTGGCTAACTCTCTGAAACTGTAAGCCCCAAATAAGCACTTTCGTTTTTAAACAGTTGAAAAGTGACTAAGAGAGGTGCACAGTTCCCGTACTGGATATGGAAGTAGGCATCTAGGCCCCAAAAGGGCCTATCAGGGAGAGGAACCGCCATATTGGAGAGAGGACTCCATGGGGGTGGGAGTTAGTATGAAAAGAAAACTCGAGGCATAAGGTATAGATATTCCTTAGAGATTATGAAATAGTGCTATGGGACAGTGTAGCATAGTGGTTAGGAGGGCAGACTCTGGAGTTAGACTCCTGGGGTCCGATACCCAGCGGCTGCTACTTATGGATGTGTGACTTGAAGCAAGTTGCCTTGTTTGTTTGCCCTACGTTCTCTGCCTGTAAAATGGGGAATCATGGTAGAATCTACCTAGATGAGAATTGGATGAGTCAATACGTGGGAATAAGCTACAAGAGTGCCTATCTAATGCTATACAAGTTTTTTTTTTTTTGGTTTTACGAGACAGGGTTTCTCTATATTGTTTTGGAGGCTGTCGGTCCAGCCTTGCCTTGAACTCACAGAGATCCACCTGCCTCTGCCTCCCAAGTGCTGGGATTAAAGGCGTGCGCCACCACCGCCCGGCTATACAAGTTGTTTTTTAATGCTGATAATATTACTGCAGGAGAGACCACGCAAATACCATGAGATGGGACTCCAGAGCAGACAGGAGTCAGCAGGTGAAATGAACGGAAGGATGCCTCTCCAGCTGTGGGCCACAGGAGGTCAATGACCCCTGGGTTTCTGTTCTCCCTCACGGTCCACCTCCCTGCTGCAGATTAGCCACTGAAGTCCACAGAAGATGTGAGACTAGAGATGGTGAGAATGCCAGGAAGCTGTGTCTGAGATCCACCTCTCCAAGAAAGAAACTGACTTTGTGTGGAAGTCCAGCAGGAAGCAGCTGAAGACAGGTGGCAAGTATGAGACCTCAGGCCATCTGAGAATGGTCTGACCTACACACTTAAGATCAAAGATGCCAGACTCGGCAACAGTGGCGAGTTCTTTGCCGAAGCAGGAACTTGGTACGGAGGATCATCTCACTATCAACTGTGAATGGTTCATAAGAGCTTGAGGGGTGAAATTCATGTCACAGCAACCCCCATGCGTCCATCCATCTACCCGTCCATCCATCCATCTCCTCTTGGCAAGACTCTGTAGGGGAGGCAGATGTGAAAATGAAATTATAATAGTTACTAACATGAAGTTAACACACGCTGGAGTCATATTATCAGCTGCGTAATCATGAACCAAAAAAATCACTAGCTTTTAACTGTGTGACATTCTCTGTGAGATGTGAATCCACACCTGTTCACCCCCAGATGAACTCAAGTATCCACCGCATGGAAGGTCCTCTGAAAACAGAAAGGTTCAAAGATACTGGGCCAACCCATGTACTCACAGTCCCCACCCCGTGGCCACCAGTTCCCCTCCACCCCCTGATGTCTGCCCTGTAGATCTCCTTCCATTGACTCATTCATCTAGAAACACCAGCTGCCCTGTTACCATGAAAGTGGGCTGCATGACTTACAAGCAAGGCTATTGCCCAAAGCGACCTGGTACAAGAAGTTCTCTAGGTGACCAAGGAGGAGCCTGTGTCCATGGGACACAGAGGAGACCAGAATCAGCTCACCATCTCCAGCTGTGTACATAAAGACATCAACTTGGTCCTGCTCAAGCTCAAACATGATAGTCACACAGCAGCTGCTGCTGTGCACAGCCATCAGGTTGTCTGAGAGCACCAGCCAGGATTCAGAGTGGTGACCGGGAAGGAGGCCCTGGAGTCTGCGTTTTGACTGGGAATGGGATTGGAATATTGGCTTTGTCACCAGAAGCTAACTGCCTAACTTTTTAAGCAGCCTTAAGGTCAAGTAGACCCGTCTAAGCCTTAGTTTCCCACCAGGAACGGAGTAGGGGCTTACCCTAGCATCTATTTCTAGTGCTTCTCAAATGCACAGCACAAGCACACAGCACATCTTCCAGTAGTCACTTGAGTGTTGCTGTGGACTACAATGATGGCAAAGTTGGAGGTAAGGAGATGAGGTGGGAGTGGGATGGAGGTTAGGTTGGGTGCAAAGAGCTCTGAGGTGGGAAGTAAAACGATGAGATGGGAGGGTAGAGGGCTGTGGTAGAAAGGGGATTTTAGATTTATTTGAACATGATGAGAAGCTGCTCTTGTGACCTTCAACATCCATTACACACACACACACACACACACACACACACACACACACGCACGCACGCGCCATCGTGCCACAAAACTGGGGCAGGGGAAGGTTTGCATTTTCATTCAGTTTACCACCCCTGTATTCTTGACGTTGGGGATTCACAGATGCAGTATCCCCAAATGTGTAAAGCTAGCAGACAGATAAGTAATTGTAATCCAAGAACGACAGTAACCCTAGAAAGCACGAGTATTCTGGAACCTCGGAAAAGTGGAGAGCTTGTCTGGGAAAGAGAGGGTTGTGGTGTGAATGACAGATAAGCAGGGCCTTGCCAGGGGCTGCAGAGCATCCATTTCTAGGTAGGCAGGAGGCTCAGAGAGGCAAGGATCAAACTTCCTAGGCACATCTTAGGAGTGCTGGGCACAAGACAAATGAGGGATCCAGAAAGCTCAGAGCCCAGTTATGCCCCAGGCTAGCCAGACCCGATCAGTGAGAAGCCCTCTATCCCTTTGCTCCAAAGCCCCATTTGTGAAGCTGCTGTCTGTCTCTAGACCGTCCAAAGCCTCGCCACGGCCAAGTTCAGCTCCTGGAGTTCTTGTGTAACTGTGAGCACAGGAAACGGAAGACCCACCTGTGAGAAAGTTCACAGTAGAAGCATTGGACTAAGAGGAGAGAGATGGACGACACAGCGGCCAGCTTCACCACCCAGACCAAAAAGAGGGGAAAGCTTCCATGCTTTGTATTCTGTTCAGAGGGTACAAGTGACCCTACTACCTGAGACTGAGAAAGTCTTTGCAGCAAATCCTATAGGTGAGAGATTGCCTAGTGCTAAGGGGTGCACCTAGGGGTTATGATGGGGGGCTTTGCCACTGAGGTATGCTGATCTGCAGGGAACACCACAGGCCCGTCCGCTAACTGTTCTGTGGGGCATTCTGATTGCAGATGAAGAACAAATGTTTACAAGAACCAACTCCACTTTTTTCTTCATTCCAGAGATCATTCTGGAAGCTGAGGGTGTATGACACCAACTTAGGGATAAGCTTGAAAGCACTTTAGTTTTTACAAAGAAAACCTTTGGCAGTAATCAGTATTTAAATTATGATTCTTAATTAGTTACTGGCTGTACCCCTCCCAACTGATTTCCAGGTGTCAGTGTGTCAGGACTGGAAACTGTGGCACCCGTCTCAGGAGTCAGACGACTTGTACTGCCCACATCTTACACAGTAAAACCACCCGGCTTTAATAAATGCTCATACCTGCTCTTCACCCCAAGAAAATTTGATTAGGAAATCTTGAATTAGGGCCCAGATGCTAATTGTTGGTGGTGGGTTTCCACACATTTCCCATTTAATGTTTAACCATTTAATGTTTAATCATTATTTTAAGGTGTTTCAAACAGGGGCAGAAATAACATGGATTAGAGAACTACCTGCATGCCCCCCTTACTTTTTCCCTCTCTGTGTTACCCATAGAACCCCCTGCCTGGCCTTACCTCTCAGCCTCAAGTGGCTGATGTGACCAGGGAATTGTTGAACCAGGACATCGACTGTCCCTGCCCAGAATGGTGCAGTCCAGGGCTTTGTTACTTTGTGGAGTGGAAAGAGAAGGCAATAATCTGTGGATGATGGCCAACAAGGATCCCATTCAGAGTGAAGTGCTAGGGACAAAGGTTCTAGGCCAGGAGGGGGTGGGACAAAAAAAGTGTTGCTGCCCATGGCCATAGCCCTCCTCAAGATTCTTTGGGAGTTTCAATATCCCATTATCCCTTCTTCCGTGGTCTCTTCGGTCTCTTATCCCATAGATGCACCTGGCCTCATGACCCCTCATCATCCCCCCTCAGGCACAGAGTATACCATGGATGGAGGACACAATGTAAATTCCAAGGTATAGCTGTGTATCAGGCCACCCCAGGACATGCCAGCATGCCAACCAGTTCAGTGGTGGCCAAGGAGCTGGTAGTATGAAGCCAGGCCCACACATTAATGGAACCAGTTCCTTTAAGAGAGAGTTTCTTCACTGGGAAAAGTCTGACTCAAAGTACTACAGTCTCACTCTCTGGCAAATGCCGGCCTCATAGAAGAGCAGGATTCATACTCAAGAAAAAGTCAACAAAGACTGAGCATCTGGGCCAGTGAGAAAGCAGGGTAGGCAGAGTTTTTTGTTTTTGTTTTGTTTTGTTTTGTTTTAACCACGCTTTGCTATCTCTTGCTTGGTGAGTGAGTTGGGGTTGAGTGAGGATGCTGGGTGGATGCTTAGGAGGCCCTAAGTTGAGGATGTGAGGTGGGAATACTGCTTGTAAGCAGATGTGGTAGAAATGGCTAGATTCAATCTGGGTGTTGGATGTAGGAAGGCTGAATGTGCAGGGTGTGTTGGGTTTTGAGGATGCTGAAACTACTGCGTTGGTAAAACAATTAAATTGGCACATCGTTGAGTAATCAAGTTTATATATTAAGGGTGCTCACTGTGGGAGCTGCTGTAGAAGTGAAAATTAGGATTTAGGCGTAGGGAATGTGGGAACTAGGCATGGGGTTGATATGGATGAATTTGGGGACCAACTGAATGTCTGTGTTACCCTAGAAACTCCAGGCCTGGTAGAGGACCTAAACATGTCTGATTCTTCTAACTCAAGCATCTCTCTTGGCTGGTGTGAGCATGTTTAAGGGACATCCTTTTTTTAACTTATGTTCATTGGTGCTTTCCCTGAATGTATGTCTGTGTGAGGGTGTCAGACTCCCTGGAACTGGAGTTACAGATAGTTCTGAGCTGCCATGTGAGTGCTGGGAATCGAACCAGGGTCCCCTGGAAGAACAGTCACTGTTCTTAGCCGCTGAGCCATCTCTCCAGCCCCCAGCAACATCCTTGAGATGAGCGCTGAAGGCATCAAGGAGTAGAGGAAGCGCATGGAAGATTCCATCTCAGACACCTGCTACACAGCAGGGATCTTCACCAAGAGACAGAACCACCAGGTGAGGACACAGAGCCAACACCCCAGCTCCAAACCTTTCCCCTGAGGCTTCATCCCATAGAGAAAGATGTGGTGATGTTCTGATTAAGAAAAACTCATCCACACTTCTTATGCCTAGACAAAGTCAAGGGTAATCTCTGGGATCCCCTTGCCTGAAAAAAATACGAAACAAGCACTGTGCCAGATTAGTATCTCTGTGTGCCATTGGAGGTGTAAGGAATATAGAAACAAGTAAGGTGCAGAGCTTGCCTTCCAAGATCTTACCTTCTAGGAGACACAAATGGAAAAGTATGTATCTCCCAGTGTTTTCAGGGCAGCCAGATGTCTTTGTGTGGCCTGTACCAGAGCCACAAAAGGGGTTGCAAAGGTTGAAGAGCAATCTATGCCTTACCCATATGTCTTCAACCTCAGCTGCTATGAAGTATGACCTCAGCACCTAGCCAGAGCCGGACAGTGGTGGGTTCTGGGACAGCCCTCTGCATCCATGCATCCTTCTCTGGGTTGTCCCAGATTCTGCTCCCCATACTGCCCCCTGCAACAGGCTGAGCGTTGTAAGAACTACTGTCTCGAATTCTGCCACCCATTTGCAAATGCCACAAAATGTAGCTCTCCACTGCTGCTTAGCTAAACTAAGACACAGCCTTTTTGGTGAGTGGGCAATGGGGCCTACTTTGACACCACAAAGCAAGGCATTGACTGATAGAGAGGGTTTTTTCTGGGGGGGAGGGGTATTGTTTTGTTTTACCCTTTTATCTCAGAGTCCTGGAGCCCTGTAGACATTGACCTACGGCACAGCCCTTGTCTCAGATTCTGTGGTTGGTCATATCTGATGAGATACCAGGCGTAAGCAAAGTACACTCTACAGGGAGAGAGGTGCCGAGAAGCCGACTGGAAACTGGAGTGACCTCTTAACAGAGGGCTGGAAGCCTTACACAAAGGTCTTAACAACCCCAGGAACAGAAAAAGAAGGGCCTTTATTGAATACTAACTACATGGTGGCCTCCTTGTCCCTCAATCCTGTAAAATAAGCAGCCTCTGTCAGTCTTTCTTTTGCAAATGAGGCAATAGGTATTATAAAAGAGATGTACATTGCCAAAGGTCACAAGCTATTAGGTGGCAAGGTGACGCTTCACAAACAGGTTTTTCTGACTCCAGGACATCTGCTGCCTACCACTCACAGAAGGAAAGTGTGTGGTTCCATCTTCCTATGGGCTGGGCAGGTGGGTATGCAGGCTAGTATGAAGGCACAACTTCTGACCCCAATTCTTCCGGATTTCTCCAGACCTCCTGCAAACCAGCAGCAGTTTGAAAAGGCCCCCAACACAGTGACTCTGACCTGGAACCAAAACCCTGATGTCCAGGAAGATGGTGATGCCCACTATGTCACCCGAAGAGGGATGAAAACAGCCCCCGTCTGGTTCGCTGCAGCTAAGCATGTCTTCAGCAACAAGTGCATGGTGACACGGCAGGAAATGCTACTTCAGACTAGTGGCTCAAAATGAAATGGGTGACAGTGACCCACCGCACTCCAAGGATGTGTGGTTTGTCAATAGGACCAGAGTGGAGATAGGACCGGAGTCACTAAAGAGTACCCAAGAGTTAACATCAGAGATCCATGGAGATGGGTCATCACTTACAGACCTGTGAGGAACTCAACAGAGATGTACCTGTGGGTGCTTTCAGCGATGTGACTGATGGGGAAGAGGCACCCTTAGGGGCCCAGATCATAGTGAGGGAGAGGAGGATTACAGAGCCAATCTGAAGACTGCTATAAAGAGAGGGAAGGTATGGGTGAGTGCTGGCTGGGACTCTGGAAAACAGTGGTGAAGTCTGCAGGGATACAGATAACACCGGGAAATGGGAAAAGATGGCTACAGGGGGCTAAGAGGAGAACCTGAAAGCTGACTTGACAGAGGGGAAGCCATGCTGGGGGAAGAGATCCATGCCGGGGTTAGGAGCTGAGAAAACCAGAATCGAAGAAGCGGGTATGGAGAAGGCATTTGATTCCCTCGGTCTAGGAAAACATAAGTCTATGAGGCTGAAGCGGAGAAGTGCAGTGTGGGTGCACAAAAACCCTTAAGAACTGCGCAGGTGGTGGCACACACCTTTAGCCCCAGCACCCGGGAGACAGTCATGGGTAGATTTCTATGTGTTTGAGGCCAGCCTGGTCTAAGCAAGCTCCAGGCCAGGCTGTAAAATGGGAACATCTCAAAGAAGGGAGAGGAGAAGGAGGGAGGGAGGAAGGGAGGGACGGAGGGAGGGACGGAGGGACGGAGGCAAAGAAGAGTACACAGTTGAGGCTCCCATAATTGCTAGCACCTGAGAATATGACCCACATCTTCCTGGGTATCTTTTGAGCTCTAAGATGAGGGTGGCTCACAGCTGCCCATCCCCCCTACGCAGTGAGGACCCGAGCCCCAAGTTGAAATCCTATCAGCTGGACTGGCACCACGCAACCTGCTTTCTGGCCCACTGTGCTCTGTGCCAGGACTACTCCATGAGTGGCACCTTTCTTGGGAACCCATGGCTCATGGTGACTGTCTACAGGGTGATGTCAGCATCACTGTCAACTCTAAGTTCTGCTACAGCTTCACCCGCAGTGTGTACACCCTGGCCGTCCCCACCTGCACGCTGAAGGACAGCCGTGAATACTGCACGCTGGGAAAGCATGAGCTAGGCGAGGACCATAGCATCTGCTTGCTCACTCTCTATGGTAAGAACACCACCAGGTCTGGCCTGGAGGGAGGACACATCCATTCTGTCCAAGGGCAGGGGCCCATTCCATCAACTGGCTAGGGCTGTTTTCTGTTTGATCTGCCATCAAGAGGTACAAATATTCTCCCATCTTATCAATGCCATATATAATGTCCCTGGCCCCTGCAAATGTGGGGAGTTCATGATCCCTTGCTAAACTATGACAACACGCATTGATGAACTGAGACCCACCTTTCAAAAAGATGCTGCTCACCAGGTTTAAACAAGACTGACCCATCACAATTTATTCAGCAGGGTTCTGGGGGAAATCTGTACACTTACAAATTTTCTCAAGTGATTTTTGATATGCATCAATGTTGAAAATCACTGGTCTAGGGTAAGGACCCACGAGAGGCTCAAACACGGGAAGCATAAAGTGGAGGATTCCTCTCACATATGCCTGCCTTGCTCTTGCTTGTGGTGTACACATTTGAGGAGATAGTTTACTCGTTCTCATTCAGTCTACTGTCTTCATGGCTAGCAGTGTGACCCCTCCAATGTGAAGCCAACCTCACATGCCATGCTGTTCAGATTCCTCCCAGCTTCTCCCAGTCTTCATGTTAACATTCTAGCAGGCCAGGCACCCCGTTCCCTTCTCTCCGGCTTTGTGCTCCATCACGCCCTCAAATTCTCTATGGTGATGTGGTCTCCATGGCTACAGATCTTTATTCAGTCAGTTAGAGATGTCTTTCCTTAGGGGCAAAGATGGTAGTCTCTCAAGTGCTCAACCAGGTGTCCGGCACTAAGAAGATAATGCTTCGAGAACAGCTGCTGAACTGTGTCTGAACTAAGCAAGGAGGGCATGGGGGATGGAGGTAGAGGATCCAGCGTCCATTCCACAACCAGAGATCCCTGGCAGTCACTCTGGCTGGTTTTAGGAATACGGACTGGGGCCTCCGATGCCACCACTGGCTAGCCATCTTTCTGTTTCTTCACCTACTGGGTTATGAGGAAGCACCTAACACAAATCCTGGGGGAGGTGGGGGAAACCAAGTCTGACTAGATGGCAGCCTTTGAACTCACATACAGCTAATCCAGCTCGGAAGACATAGGGACCAGTCCTCAGTTCCTATGTAGTGACTCTAAATCCAGCGACTTCAGATCTTCACGAGCACTAATAAATATTAGCTCTCATTTTTTTCAAAGATGGCAAGTCAAGCCCAGCATTGATCACCGAGAATCTTCAGAAGGCGGAGCTCTTCACGCAAGCTCCGGCCTGGAGGCGGCAGCATCAGCTGTGGTGTGGGGCTTTTGGGCCAGTCTACCTTACTGGACGGACGGATGGACGGGCGGACGGACGGACGTGTCACCTTAAGTGTTCGGTGAAGGTACAGAACAAGAAACTCTCTGAGCTCACCCTTCCTGCTCCTGAGAAAGGAGTGCAACAGGAGCCCTGGGGGTGAACACACAGCCAGCCCACACACACAGCCAGCCCACACACACACACACACACACACACACACACACACACACACACACACACACACACGAAGTCACCTTGGGGCTTCCCTTCCTTCTTCACACCCACTCACCCTCCCCTCAGCACACAGGACAAATTCTGCTGACTCCCTCCCCCTCCCCATCCTGCTCCCTCCCATTTCTGCACATCACAGAAGTCTGGGCTCAGCATCCTAGAGTTTGAATGGATCAGGACCTTGCTCCCTAAGTACCCAGCCTCCTGCCATCAGAGCAGGATGGAGCTGCTCATGCAGTTTTAAACTTGCTTTACAGTAGAATACTTCCTGGAAGAATTTTAAACTCGAAATGACGGAGCCCTGAGCCCTGCTCCCCCCACCTCCCTACTTCTTTGCTTTCTGTCCCCATGAGAGGTATCTGTAAAATTTTCAGTTTGGGTCTAGCTTAACAGCTCACAGTAATACATAGCTCAACAGTAGAGCACAATTTTAGCACATGAAACGCCTTCAGTTTGATGCCCAGCACCCCCAAAAAAAAAAGTTTGGAAAGTCATACATTCATCTACCACCCATGAGATTTGAACCTCCTGTATTATATTCCCCCAAACATGTCAATGGCATATTCACCACTGACCCTTTCTGCTTCAGGACTAAGCACTGCCCATTAAAATTCAAATGCCCCCGGAGTAAGGCAGAACAATATTCTACTGAGGCTTCAGGTCTAAAGTAAGAACCAGCTAGTCTAATTCCATTCCTCCCTCCCAGCTGCTCAACTAAACCCAGATTCCAAGGAAGAGGCAGTAGTATAGAAGTCTGCTCCATTTAGAGAAGCAACCAGTCTGGGCTGGGGACGGGGAGAGGGTTATGCTGCAACTGCATAGCTAAGGGTTACCAAGACTGCTAAATACCTAAACACAGAGCACTACATCAAGGGCAAATGCAGACAATGGTAAGACACTACCCAGCCCCACCCTCTTGAATATAACCACACCACTCACACACACACACACACACACACACACACACACACACACACACACACACACACGACCAGGGAAGTGACACCCACTGAAACAAATACAGTGTCAGCATAGCCAGGGAGCCAGCTAGGCGCCAAGATGCCCGAGCCAAGTCAACTGTGACCCAGGCTGTGAGGCCAACCAAGGCTCCTGGCACCATGCCTCCAGCCTCCACCCCCTGTCCAGGACAGGCACGTGCCACACAGGCAGATAAGTCAGAAAGTCAGTGGTCCTTGGGGTTTTATTTTATTTTATTTTATTTTTCACATGGGCAGTAGAGGATGGAGTTACCCCATCCTTACTCCCCTTGCATTGACTGTGCCTTACGTCTTAAGACCCCCAGAGAGTCTTTTAGAACTCACTCCCAGGACAGGAAGAAAGCTCTGTTGTTGGTGTGCTAGGGTAGGACACCCCGGCTCTGAGCTAGGTTAAGTACCCCTCAGAAGCTCTCTGAGGCCCACCCCTCTAATTCTTTTGCAGACAGCAGGAAAAGACATATAGCTGGAGACCAGTCCCTTCCTTTGGCATGGTTTACCTTAGCCCTGGGGATAGAGTCTGAGGGAGATGGTTGAAGTCTAAGCTCTGAGACAACCCGTGAAACAGGACCAATCTGAAACCTTGGTACCCTCAAGTTTCCAGACCAAGGAAGTTCCCTTCAACTACTTCTCATAGACAGACATCCATTCACCACTTGACTGAGATGCTGAAGTAACAAGGCTAGATAAAGGAAAACAAGACTCCCCCTTCAACCAATCTTCCCAAAGGGGAACCTGGGGAAGGAGCTTCAAGCCCTGGTCCTGGGTCATCTTGGGAGACACAAACTGGGAAAGAATGAGCCTGGCATGGCCATTAGTCCTAGGCGTAAGAGATAGTCACACTCCTCCACCTAGTAAAAAGATAAAGGGAGGTTAACAAGCCATCACCTTCTGGGAGGGCTTTGACGGTCCTGATGGTGTGCGAGAGGTCTACTGAGACTTAGGTGAGGGATACGAGGCCACCTCTGAGCTCTCAGCATCATCCTGGACTACCAGCTTTCCCAGGAGTGCCTCCAGCTTACCCGGTCAAGCCTGCCTCTTTCCCAGGAGGTGCCTGCTGATCCAGCTCCTGCACACTCCCAAAGTCGGGGCCCCAGTCCCAGGAGAAAGGTGAGCAGACCCCAGTCCCTTCAGTTGGCCTTGCTCAGTCTATAGTCTTCCAGGGGCTCCCGGCTCTCGACAGCCGACAGGGCAATGAGCATCTGAGCAGCATAGTAAGTGGACATGATGAGCGCCCGAGAGTAGGGCACGGGGAAACAGAACTTGTTGAGAGCGATGGTCAGGTCTGAGATGATGAAAAGCAGTGCACCACCGCCAGCCGCCAGCTCCGTCCACCGCCAGGCTGCGCCAACCAGCCGCAGCCCTGCCATAGCTCTCCAGCCCATGAAGCTGATGAGGGCCACATAGATCCCTACCAGGTAGGTGAAGGCACCCGACAGCCCTGGGTAGAGTAGAGCATAGCACAGGCCTGATAGCACTCCAATCACCAGACCTGTCCGGAGAGCCAGTGGCCGCATGCCAAAGGCCGAAGCATAGAGTATGTGTGTCACAGCAAACATCAGGAGACCTGCAAGCGAGAGGGGATACAGAATGCTAAAAGCAGGCTTGGTGACTAATGAGCACTTTGTGTGCAAGAGAATGGGACTAGGGATAACCCGGCAGCTTTGCTCCGGGACTAAGAGGGGTAGCAAGTTTTAAACTCACCCTTCTCATATACTCCCTTAGAGAGCTGGTTCTCCTCCAACAGAAGACCCAAGTCCCCAGCCTCAAAAATCCTCCAACTCCCTATCCCCTCTTCCAAAGCCTTCCCCAATCCCCAACCCCAGGACCCTCTTTCCTCCAGCCCCAGGCACCCTCCCAGGCAACTCCTACAACTACTGACCATACTCAAAGTAGCCGTGGTCCTGCCAGATGAGGAAGGCATCGCCCACAGCAGAGAAGACGAGCCCCACAAAGATGAGGGAGGCACTGGGGTGGGCCAGCAGGAACCTGATGCCATGGGCCAGAAGGAAAAGCCAGAGGCAGAAGATGGGCAGGCACTTGATAAGGGCACTGACCCACGATGGGCTGGATGAGGGCAGCCAGAGCACAAAATACACGCAGGTGGCCTTTAAAAAGGGCACCAGTTTGGGTCCCTCGCTCTTCACCTGGAAGAGACAAGACGAGGGTGACGCTCAGAGGTCGGGGAGCCCAGAAGCCCATGGTGGAATGTAAAACCCAGCAGCACCTTTCCCCAAGGCTACAGGGCACACACCAGCCCTATACCACTCAGAAGAGGGAGGACTGCTCGAGAAACCTGGCCTGTCCAGCTCTAGTCAGCCAGCAGAAGTCTGGTTGAATGAAACCATTATCACCCTAAGGTTCAGTTTACCAGGACAGGCAAGGGCTCTCCTGTCCTGTCACTCTCGTCCACTCTCGGCCCTGGGACTGGCCCAGAAGAGTCATTCACTGGGCCAACAGTGAATGCTACGATGCTCCCTTCTGCAACCTAGTGCTTTCCCTTCTGGTTTCGTCCTCTCCCCTCCTAGAAGGGTCCCTTGGCCCTGCTTCCAGTCAGCATCAGCTCCCAGCTGTGAGGAATCCGAGTGATATTAGAGGGAAACCACAGAAACGCAATGGCTGACCAACTCATGATCCCAGCTTTAGAGCCAGGACTCCGGCTTAGAGGCCTGGCAACACCGGGTGAGTGCCAGGAATGTAGGCAAATGACAGAACCTCCACCCCACAGGCTTTCTGTCCTGCCCAAGTCTGCCCCCTCAGCGTCCACTCCACCTGTGTTAGACCAAAGGTGGCATCAAGGACAAAGAGATGCTAGGGATGCTGGGAAGAGAAATAAGATTTGCGTTGGGAGCAATAAAGACTGCCTGAAACAAAAAAGGTTTCCAGGGCTAGGGGGTGCTGGCCATTTCTTTTCCCAGAGAACAAGAGCAACTTGAGGCACCAGAGACAGGAAGGGGGTGGGGAGGGCTTCTTGTCCCGGCTTCTGATCTGGAGCCAGCAGACAGGCAGGGAGGAGATGGGGAACTGAGAGAGGGAAGTTGGCACAGCTGACTGGGTCTCAGCTGGATTAGGGGGAGGGCAGCTCTAAAGAAAGGTTTGACTCAAAGCACAGTCCGAGCTGGGGGAGGAGAGTCTGCAGATGTTCTACGGTCTCCCGAAGCTCCTTCTCGTGGGTTGTTAGCTCAGGGTTTCTGAGGGTGAGCTGGAGCGACTGGGGTTCCCAATAGACCCCAAACTTCACCTAAAGTTCTCTGGCTGGGTGAGGAAGCTGTTCCCGCAAGACCCTGAGGACACACTCAGATTCCCAGGCTACCAGGTACCTGATGCAACTGCAGAAGGGGTAGAGAGGAGACATATAGCGAGAGGGTCCTGGGAATAAGCCTGCTCTTGTTCTGTCAGAGGTGAGAGATGAGGGCAGAGGTGACACTCCCTTCCCATGGAAACTTCCTTATCAGGGATAGTCAGGGTGTGGGCATGCATGGTCAAGGGAGGAGACCCCCCCCAAGACGCCCAGCTCAACGTGTCAGCCCTCAGAAACGTCAACTTTGCTCTCCCCTCCTTCCCCAAGCCTGTATTTTCTAGAAGAAACTGGCAGTTAGGTGGTGAAATCACGACTGAGAAGCCAGCCTCAGAGGAGTGGGGAGCCAAGCCAAAGGTCGGAGTTGATTAAAAAAAAAAGTCTGAAAAGGAGGTCAGGCCGATTGAGAGCAGTCCACAGCCACCTAGCTTTGCTTAGGCTGAGGCGTCACCCCTTTGCGCCTACAAGGTGACGATGAAACCAACCTGGGGTCAGGATTCCCAAGAGGTCGACCCTCCCACACACACCCTCTCGAACGCTCCTCTGAGGTCCCACCACGCAGAAAACCCTGAGGCCCGCTGCTGTCCGTCCGGTCCCAGGCCAAGACCCACAGACCGGCTCCAGACACACATGGATCAACAAAGTCACGCTTCCGAGTCACGTGCACAGTGTTTTCCTCCCTCCCGCGGGCAGACGGGGGGCGCGCGCGGAGGAGGGGGGGTTGCTGCGTTGAGTGAGGCGCGAGGGGCCGTGACAGCCGCCGCTCCCCTCGGAGGGGGAGGCACTAGCTTCCTCGGCCACCCCGGCGGGCGGGCGGCCCGGCTGGCCGCTGCCTCGTCCCCAGGCCCGGGGAGCTCCGGCCGCGGCTCGCGCGCTCGCGCACTCACCACAGTGACCGGGGACACCATGGCGGCGGCGGCGGCGGCTGCTGGCACCCGCTCCGGGTTGCACCGCCAGGACGCACCCAGGGGGCCAGGTGAGCAGACGATGAAACAAAGCCGGGGTGAAGTGCACTACCTCCCGCGCGCCCGGGAGCTGGGAGTACAGACTGCGAACCTCACGACGTCACCACAGACCCAGCCAATGAGCGGGCTGGAGCCTCCGATGGGCGGAGTCCGGCGGGCGGCGCCCGCCAGGCTTCCTCTGTTTCTGCACTGTAGAAGGAGATCCTCCCACCCCCGGGCGTGGGCGGGGACTCGAGGCCACGCCCCGTAGGGAGGCGTGGCAGGGCATCCCAGAACGTGATCGCGACCCCCCACGGCTAGGAGGCGAGCGCGTCGCCGCCCCGGGAGTACCGCGAGATGCATCGTCTCTTAACTCCAGGACAAAAAGCAAAGAGAGATTCTCCTCAGCCTTTTAAGCATGCAGCCTAAGCGGATGCGATTCCAATAAGACGTGGTTTTCAACAGTGGACGCGGCAGGGTTCAGCAGACAGCCTTCAGCATGGGAAGAGATACGTATCCAGGCGCAGAGTGTACTTAAACTATACAGAATCGTAGTTACATTAAGCGCACGTGGACATTTGTACACTGAACAAAAATATAGCTACGGACGGGAACTGCGGGTTGACCACCATCCTTCACCGCACTACGAAACCTGGGGATAAAAGCAAGCGGCAACCTGTAGTGGACCCCATTACGGCAACAGGTGAACAAATTACAGTGCTAGAGGGCCTTAGTCACACATCCCTCGCGGCTGGAACAACAGTGACAGACAAGAGCAAAGCAGCAATGCATTGCAGGCAAAGCTGAGCATGCCCTCTCTAGCCTAGATTTCCTCCTCTGTAAAATGAATGGGTGACCTCTAAGGTTCTGCCCAATCCAGACCTGTTGTGTAGGATCAGGAAGGGGGAAGGTTGCTGGTTTCTGGAAATACAAGTCTACCTAGCAGACTTCATGGAAATGGAGGTTTCCAAATTCCACTGGATAGGTGTGTGGTCTGTGATACAAGCAGAGCTTTGGCTGTGGCATCTGCTGTTGGGAAGGGGGGGAACACTGACTGCTTCCGGAGATGGGGATACCCCAGCCCCGTGCTGGACCCCAGCCCCGTGCTGGCCTGGAAAAGACACAGGCTGAACTCTCCAGTGAGCCCTTCCCACAGTCATCCTCTTCATTTTTTTCCTCCAGCTGTCCTCTAGCCCTAAACTGCTGGCCTGACACCCCCTCAGAGAAGAACAGCCCTCTTCTAGTGACAGTATTGACAACCTGAAATTCCAAATAGAGTCTAGTAAGGGCCAAAGTCAAGGTTTGGGAGAGAGGTGCTGCTCGCCTCCTCTCTAGGCAAATTCATGGTCCAGGTTATTTTTTTGTTGCTGTTGTTTTTGTTTTTGTTTTGTTTTTTCAGTCAGGAGTTTTGAGAAGACCACCTACTTCATCCCAGTGAGAAATGTAAACAGCTGTCCCCAAAGCTTTGTCATAGACGCCACTGCCAAATGTATTTCTGGGAGAGAGCACTGAACCGAAAGCAACATGGACATGATCCCTCGTTTCCTGGGACTCACGAGTGTTGTAATTGGTCATATGCCACTCTGTCTTTGGAGCCTCGGTTCCCCATCAACAAGTTATAATATTACAACATACATTCCAGTTTTAGACCAAACCCTCCAGTCACCAGTCAAGCCAGGGCATTTTTGTTTCTCTGGACCCTTTTCTCTAATTATAAAGATTAAAAATGTGAACTTTTAAAAGGATTGGGGGGAGAGTACGGGGGTGTAATTGAGGTCAAAGTTGCTGGAACTCCCTGGAGGTGGTATTGCAGGCATCTGTGAGCTGCCTGAAATGGATGCTGGGAACAGAACTCAGGTCCCCTGGTGGAGCAGTGTGTGCCTTTACCCAGTGAGCCAACTCTCCAGGCCCTGAGAATGTAAACTTTATTGGTGGTTTCAAAAACTGGGACCAACCAGAATTGCTTGAGAAGTCCTTTTAAAACATCATTTCCTGCCTTAGCCCTACTAATTCACCAATTTTGATAAGCTTCAAACACAAATACCTAAACAGACAGTGCTCACCAGGAATACCACTTCTAGCTGAGTTCAGCTGAGAGTCAGAGGCCATTCAGAGAGCGAGAAAAAAACATGGACAAGGTCCACTCGACCAGGCTGAGAATCCGGCATTTCTAGAAGCTGTGCTCTTCCCTGGCTAACTCGGTCTCTCTTCCTCAAACCTCGGGGCTTTTGGCAATGTGCCTCTGGACCAGTGACTGCTTTTGTTACCTAACCCTCGTCTTACTCTGCCTGCTTGAACTAAGTGAGTTTCTGCCCTGCCCCAATCTTATCTTTGAAGACAGAACGCCTGATGACCAGAAGTCCCTCTTCAGGTGGCTAACTAAAACCGATCGGGTCTAAGATGTGTGCTGCAGTGACCGCCCCATGACTTCTCTAATTTCCTTAAGACTCTATGGCAGCATGCTAAATGACACCTCTCGGCACCATGACAGGTGACCAGAAAGAACCACAGAAGGAACAAAAGCAGGGGGCATCTGGGTTCCTGGGAAACCTCTATCCACTCCCAGGAAGATAGAGCTCTTTCTGTCCTTCCTTAGCTCATTCCTCCCATGGTTCCTTCACCCAGTGGCTATAACTCTCTGTCCCTAGCCGTTGGAGCAGCTACTTTGCAAATTTATCTTCCATTACCTCCTTCCCTGTTCAGTGAACACTCACTTTTATTGTGAATTCTATAACTCCGAGAGGGAAAGGGGAACCAGGAATTAGCTACAGTTTGGCTAATCTGTCCAATGCCTCTACAGGCTGTAATTGATTCTCTTCAGTTAAGTACTCTAGATATTGAGCCTTCACTGACACGGACACTAACAATTTTGCTTCCCCTCAAGAAGGAACTTATCCTAATTTTATTTATATGTATATGTATTTGATTCGATTTTTAAATTTGCTCTTCGGTTGTTTGGGAGGGTTGATTTAGACTTTCTTGAGTTTATATTCTAGGTAGCAAGGAATAGAGTACGACTTAATGAAAATAGGCGCTCCTCTTCTGTACCCAGAATGACTTGTCACCTGGTTCTTCTCACACAGAGCTATTTTTCCTCTGTACTTGCCTGTCTGTAAGGAGGTGAGCCCATTCACTGATTCACTCCATCAACAAATACATAAAGTGTACCTGCATATGTGCCAGCTATCATGTTAGATGCCAGAGTTATAAATATTGGGTCAAAAACAACCTCTGTGCTCATGGAGTTCACAGTTGACTGCCGGCAGGTGAGTAAACAAACAGGTGGTGTAGCAGCTGAAGCAATTGAGGTGAGAAGCTGGGTGTGGCGTCCCATACCTGTAGTCCCAGATGCTCAGGAGGCTGATGTGGAAGAGTGCCGTGAGCCCACAAAGTCAAGACCGGTATGGTCAACACAGCCTCAAGAAGTACGAATGTGTGTCACAAGAGCCATACAGAAGACATCAGAGTGATTCATTGTACCTGTCACAGTAGAGGAAGGCGGGGCTTACTCTAGAAGAATCGGTTAGCCTTCATTGAGCAAACATCAGTGGGTATGACTCTAGGAATGGAGTCAGATGGAGTCAGAAAGACACACTGAATCAGGACAAAGGAGTAGCACTGGAGCTGGGAGAGGGAGGTTGATGCCAGGATCTAGAGTCGCTATTGAAGAACTGGAGAAGAAATAAGAGGAGCCGAGTCAGGAAGGATCCTGAAGCTTCTATTAAGGAGTTTGGACTTGGCCCAGGAGATGCCAGTTGTCTTCTGTTCTTAACTTCTCTAGTTGGTTCTATCTCTCTAGGTCTGGTCCAGAGACCCCCAAAGCACACCTAACTAATCAGCTTTAAGAATCTTCCCTCCAGCTGGTGAGTGCTGGTGGGGCACACCTTTAATCCCAACACTCAGGAGGTAGAGACAGGTGGATCTCCATGAGTTCAGGGCCTGCCAGGTCTTCAGAGTGAGTTTCAGAACAGCCCAGGCAAGGCAAACTACAAAAAGAAATCCTGTCTCAAAAAAAAACAACAACAACAAACAAAAAAATAGAATCTTCCTATTACACTCCCATTTAACCCACAGATCTGTCTGGAGAGGAAATGTTAGAAATGTCACAGGGTGCAACATGAAACTGTGGTAAACGTATGTGAGAGTAGTTTTAAGAGAGATGAATGTATGTCGGAAGGTACTAGATACCAATCTAGAGCTCAGACCAGAAGTAAAGACTGAGTCTAGACTTTCTTGTCACAGCCAGTTGTGTTAGGTTTAATATGTGGGATCAGGGGTGGTCTTAATAAAGATGTTCTGGGCTCTGTGATTAGACTCTGGGTTTGGGGGTGACCTAAGTCCAGGCTCTCCATTTTCTGTGGGCCCTTGTCAAATCATTTGACCTCTCTCTGTTTCTTTTTCTAAATAATGCCAACCTGGCAGGAGTGGTTTGAAAGGAAGTTTGTTAATGCATATTCCATGCCCTGCTGCCAGAACGTGCTTGCTCTCCTTGTTCATTGACAAGGGCATCCCTGGACCTTAAGATCCAAGTGGACATGGGGCTGGGAGGTGGCTCAGAGGTTAATAGCACTGGCTGCTCTTCAAGAAGTCCTGAGTTAATTCCCAGCACCCACGTGGTGGCTCACAACCATCTGTAATGAGATCTGGTGTACTCGTCTGCCTCCAGGCAGAAAGGCAGGCAGAATGCTGGATATAAACAAATAATTTTTTTAAATCCAAGTGGACTTTCCTAACTAAAATTTGTCAACCAAAGGGTCTTCTGGTTGACAAATTTTGGTTCAGTACCAGGGCCCCCCTCCCCCAGGGAATCCCTCCCTTCCAGAGGAGTATGCCGGATTAGACGACCACAGCACCTAAACTTCTAGAACTCCAGTTCTCCAAAATCTTTTCTTTAATACTTATTTTAGTGTGTGTGCATGCGTGTGTGTATGTGTGTGTGTCATAACACCCATGTAGAGGTTAGAGGACACGTTCTAGAAGTAAATTCTTTCCTCCCTTCCTCTTTGCTTCGGGTCTTCAGGCTCGGCAGCAAGCAGCTCTAAGCCATGAGCCATCTCAGCAGCCCCCAAGTCTTATTGTCATCCTGGCCTCCTCAGTCCTGTTGGATCCTACAGCGTTCGGGGCTCAGTTTGGGGTTGTTCCTTCTCCGGTGCTGGAAAGCTAGGAAGAGGAGGAAAGCAGTGTCTTAAGAGGTGAATAATTAGATGGCCTTGTTTCTATTTAAAATAAATATATACATACATACATACATATATATATATATGTATGTATATGGTGCCCTTGGGGGAAACACGAGATCCTACCTACCCATTAAGTTCCTGAACACTGAATTAGTAATTGTCTCCCCACTGTCGGCATCTGAGGGCTGGTCTCCATATAACAGGGAAGAACAGACTGCTCAGTCACTCTCCCCTGCACGAACCACTTCCCTAGCTGTCTTCATTCCAATGTGGCTGGTGGCCGGTCCTCCTTCAGTCAGGCGTACAAACGGCACTCACTGGCCGCTTCACCAGTGCAGGCCGCATCTGAAAGCAGACTCAGCACAGCAGAGCTCCCCTGTCATCAGGTCAGGGAGCCCCCAGTCCGGCTGGGGAGGCTGACACACAAACTTCCCTCTCCTCAGATCTGACCAGAAAAGTGGACAGGGACAGTGAGGCGCGTGGGGGTGGGGGGGTGGGGGTGGAGCAACGCTGTGCAAAGGTCGGGGAGTTATTTATACTATCCCAGCCTTTCCTATTCCAGCCCAGCTTCCTGTCTCCCATCCGGAGGAGTACAGGCCTTGGAAGCGTGTTACATTAGGACTGAAACTCCAGCGGAGGGAGGGAGCGCTGGAGTTGACCATAAGCCCCTCTTCGCTCTCACTGGGAAGAAGAGGGCAGCAGTTAACGAGGTGGGGCCTTCAGCCCTGTCTCCCTGTCCCTCTATCTTCCAGAACCAAAATTTTAACCGCCCCTCCTTTTATAAGCTTGTTTTAGAAGGTTGTTTAATCCTCCCCTTCTTTTCTTTCTTTTGACTTTTTTTGGGATCTTTTTTCATGTTTTATTTTTTGTATTTAAATTAGAAACAATCTTATTTTATATATCAATCCCAGTTCCCTCTCCCTCCCATCCTCCCAAGCCCCACACTGACCCCCATCCCATCCCTCTTCTGCTCCATAGAAAGAGTGAGGCCTTCCACAGGTGATCTTCAAAGTCTGTCACATCATTTGGGGCAGGCCCTAGGCCCTCCCTTGTGTGTCTAGGCTGAGAGAGTATCCCCTCTATGGGAAATGGGCTCCCAATGTCCATTCATACACTACGGATAAATACTGTTCCACTACCAGAGGCCTCATAGACTGCCCAGAGCTCCTAACTGAAACCCACATTCAGGGGGCCTGGTTCTATTCTATGCTGTTTTCTGAGCTGTCAGTCTGGGGTCCATGAGCTCCCCCTTGTTCAGGTCAGCTGTTTCTGTGGGTTTCCCCAGCCTGGTCTTGACCCCTTTGCTCATCACTCCTCCCTCTCTGCAACTGGATTCTAGAAATTCAGCTCAATGCTTAGCTGTGGGTCTCTGCTTCTGCTTCCATCAGCTTCTGGATGAAGGTTCTAGGATGGCATATAAGGTAGTCATCAATCTCATTATAGCAGAAGGCCTCTTCACTATTGCTTAGATTGTTAGTTGGAGTCATCCTTGTAAAATTTTGGATATTTCTCTAGTGCTCAGATTTCTCTTTAAACCTATAATGGCTCCCTCTATTAAGGTATCTCTTTTCTTGCTCTCCTCTATTCTTCCCCCGACTCAAATTTTCGGGATTTTTAATACATTTCAAATAAGGAGAACTGGTTCGTTTCTTCTTCACTGCCAAAGGGACCGCTACAGTGTCTGCGGCTGGCTCCTTGTCTGCAGTAACCAGAACATAACCTCACCCTACCCTTGTTCTTGGTGTTAACTGATTTCCTCACCCTACCCTTGTTCTTGGTGTTAACTGATTTGACACTCTTTTTCCTGACCATCAGCAGAAAGTCCTTGGCATCCTCAGTTTTCTGAAGCACGGTGAGGAGAAGAATAGTGTCTGTCTTACCTTTGTCCATTTTCCCTAGGCCTGTTGAAACCCCACCAAGACCAGCATCAGCATGCTGTGACAGTTGAGGACAGTAGGAAACCGGACACACATAAGAGAGGCATTAGTTATGGCAGTGTGGGAAGGCAGCTCTGTGTCAAGGGACAGCGTCAGAGACCGGAAGCTCCTGGTTGGATTTCCAGCACCAGCCATTCCTCCTGGACAAGTGACTAACTCTGACCTCAGTTTCCTTTGAAGTGGGGAGGCAAATAGTTTCCTTGCACAGTTCTTGTAGGAAGCAACTGAAAGCAGAACATAAGGCACTGAAATATGAAATTCCTTGAACTTAGGGTTTTATAATTTGTGCTTTCTTCCTTTCAGGGAGCTGAAATTCAAGGTGGGAATGTCTGCCTGGAATGCATTGAGGATGGTGCTTTCTGAAGAGTAGGCGGAACTTCTCAACATTCACAAGCTGGGACACGTCAGAAGCAACAGGAAGCTTGTTAAACGCATGGATGGCCACACTTTCGTCACAGGCTTCTGATTCCAGGGCTTCAGGGTGGAGCTCTAGCATCTGCATTTTAACAAGGTCCCTGGAGTTATTCATGTGCACATGCAGGTTGAGGTGCTTTGTAGCAGATAACTCAGAGCTGTTCATCCAGCAAGCACGTACCAAGAACCAGGCCAAAGCAATGAGCTCGGAAAGAAACTCTTGCCTCACACAGGGCCTGTCATACAGTGAGCCCTGGTTAAACACCCACACCCCCCAAAAAAAGCCTTCAAAAAGATGTATCATTGCCGGGCGGTGGTGGCGCACGCCTTTAATCCCAGCACTCAGGAGGCAGAGGCAGGCGGATCTCTGTGAGTTCGAGGCTGGGCTGGACCGACAGCCTCCAAACAATACAGAGAAACCCTGTCTCATAAAAACCAAAAAAAAAAAAAGGCAATGAACTTGAGAAGTTAGAGAGGTGGGGAATTGATCTGGGAAGAATTAGGGAAAGAAGCAGGAGTGAAATAATAAGCTTTCTTTTTTAAAAACAAGATGCTTGCCAAGGGACGATATGAGGAAAAGTTTCCTAGGTGAAAGAATGTTTCTGACAGCTTAAAGGATAAGGCTTACCAGCCTCAGATGTAGAAGTGTAACAGTTAAAGGTGTGGCAGAGTGATGAGGTGTATCTGCGTCTTAGGGTACCAGGAAGCGGTAGGAAGGACAGCAGGAGGAGGTCTGTGGGTTTGAGGATTAGATCGCAGCAGATCCACTCAGACGCAGAGTTGGAATGAAGTCTGTGGGATAGCACAGTCCATAACAGCAGGCAAAGAGAACAACTGAGAAGCTGTTACTAAACTGGGTAGTGGGTGGTGCACGCCTTTAATCCCAGCACTAGGGAGGCAGATCTCTGCGAGTTCAAGGCCAGCCTGGTCTACAAAACTACACAAAGAAACCCTGTCCTCAAAAAATAAAAAATAAAAATAAAGTTAAAGGAATAAAAAGGAAGAGAAGAAAAAGAAACTGTTGCTGGAGAAAACCCATTTGGAATGATGTCAGTAGGTTGTGGAGGGATCAACTCCAAAGATTTTAAAGTAGTTCCTTCCCCTGATGGAGTTAGGATTGTGATTACTGTGGCGAAACACCATGTCCAAAAGTAACGTGGGGAGGAAAGGGTTTGTTTGTTTGGCTTACACTTCCACAGCACTGTTCATCATCAAAGGAAGTTAGCACAGGAACTCAACCATGTGGGAACCTGGAGGCAGGAGCTGGTGCGGAAGCCATGGAGGGGAGCTGCTTACTGGCTTGCTAACCACGACTTGCTCAGCTGCTTCCTTATAGAGCCCAGGACCACCAGCCCAGGGATGGCCCCACCCACAAGGGGATCAGCTCCCTCTCATCAATTAAGAAAATGCCCTACAGCCAGATCTTACAGAAGCTTTTTTCTCAATTTAGGCTCCCTCCTTTCAGATGACTCTAGATTGTATCAAATTGATATAAAACTATCCAGGACATGGAGTTAAAGGCACAGCATCTCCCAAAATGCTCAGTGGGTATCTTGATTGTCTGCAGCTGAAATCGATTAGAAATGGTAGCTACCGGGCCATTCGCCCTGTCCTTTCCTACATACAGCAAGTCATAAAGATTCTTTTTCGAGGAAAGTCCCTGTCCTTCCAAGATGTAAAATGCCTTCGGTCATCAGAGTCTGGTAACTGGGGCCTCGGGGACACTGAATAAACCACTGCTTTGAAATTACCCTTATTTTCCACCAGCCTTATCAAACTCTTATCCTGCATATTTACTGGAAACAGCCCCAGAATTTACTACCCAAGTCCAGATATCCATTTGTCCTGTCATTTCTTCACAAATTTATGATCCTTTCTTGCTGTTTGTTTGTTTTAGTTTTTTTGGTTTTTCAGGACAGTGTTTCTCTGTGTGTAGCCTTGACCTGAAACTCACAGAGACTCGCCTACCTCTGCCCCCCCAAGTGCTGGTATTAAAGGCATGCGCCACCACTGCCCAGCATAATTCTTCGTTTTAAAGGTAGAAAGGCATTGGGCATTGGTGGCAACGCCTTTAATCCCAGCACTCAGGAAGCAGAGGCAGGAGGATCTCTGTGAGTTTGAGGCCAGCCTTGGCTACAGAGAGAGTGCCAGGATAGACTCCAAAGATTCACAGAGAAACCCTGTCTCGGGAAGGAAAATAAAAAGGTAAAAGGGCATCATCCTTGACCATTCCCTCAGGCTTCACTGTGGTGAAGATCTCCATATACTTGTAAAATTAAGTTTTAATAACATTTTCCTCTCTAGGTTTGTGGGTGCATACATTTAATCCCAGCACTCACTGTGAGTTCAAGGCTAACCTGATCTACATAGAGAGTTTCAGGCCAGTCAGAGCTACATAGTAAGACCCTTTAGGAAAAATAAAATAATTTTTTTTAAAAAAATCGCTGTTGAGATGAGCACTTAAGAGTACTTGCTGCTCTTCCAGAGGACCTGAGTTCAGTTCCCAGCCAGGTGACTCACAACCACCTGTAACTCCTAAGCCCTCTTTTAGCCTCCTACCCAACCTTACACACACACACACACACACACACACTAATTAATTAATATCAATAAAAAAGCTCTTTGCTGCATCTACTTTGGGAATGAAGACCATTCTGAGCAATCAGGCTGTTGACTTTCCAGAAAATGTCAGAACCACTCTGAAAGGACACAGTTATGCAGGGCCTCGGAGGAACCTCCAACCATTGATGGAGCCTAAGTCTCCCTGGAAGGAAAAAGACAAGGTTCCCAGTTGACACATGGTGGAGAAACAGAAAGGAACTGGCTGTTCCGTGTGTGTGTGTGTGTGTGTGTATGTGTGAACTGTCTGTGCTCCAGTATAGAAAGTGATCAGGGATCAGGGATGCAGGTCAAGCTCTGCACGTGCTCACTTTCCCATCAACATTGCTAGTTATTCAGAAAAATGGGTCTGAATTGTCTCAATTGACATCTAAAACTTTGTGGGTGAAAAATACATCCAGAGTTCAGATGAGGACAGGTGTTGCTTGTTCTGTCTCTCACGAAGGAATTAATTCTATTGTTGTTGTTGTTTTGTCTTGTCTTGTTTTGTTCTTTTGAGACAGGGTTTCTCTGTATTGTTTTGGATCCTGTCCTAGAACTCTCTCTGTAGACCAGGCTGGTCTCGAACTCACAGAGATTCACCTGCCTCTGTCTCCCGAGTTCTGGGATTAAAGGTGTGTGCCACCAACGCCTGGCCAGGAACTAATTCTTAAAAATTATATTGAACTTGCTTAAAATTCAAAGGCTTTGATCCAACAAGGCACAATAGTTCAAAAAAGTAAGTCAGAAAGTTTTTGGCGTCTATGTTTCTGAAAAAGGAACAGTGTAGCAAGAGTTAGTGCAGCAAGCAGGGAGTGAGATCTGAGTTACACATCTCCAGAAACAAGATCCTGAATTAAGTGAACAGCCATAAGGTTATTAAATGAAAATCCCAGTTCCAAAAGCTGGCTACCTCGTTACAAGTTGTTGACCAGTGAAGCCTCTGAGGATCAATCCCTCAGACGACATAGGCTATTGCCACTGCTGTTGATTGCCCACCAAAACTGGCTGGTAAGACCCTTTTCCTGAAGTCACCATACTACAGGACAGAGAGACATCAGGTTGGAGGAGAAGCTTCCTCCCCTATGGCTAACTTCTATAGTGCTGGAAGGTATTGTGCAGGCTGCTAAGGGAGAATTGTCAACAGTGTTATTTACCAGTGGGTCAATCAGCAAAAATACAGAACAGTCAGGGGAGACAAGCCCACTAGTGCAATAGTAGCATGACTGTTGTTGGGGTAACCAAGTGATTTCTTATTGGATTTGAAGTCCCATCCACAGGAGAACATTCACACCTAGTTACCTGGCTGAAAGCCTATGGCTGGTGAGTCAGGCTATAGGAGGAAGCTATTGCTATTTTTTGCCAAATTGACATGATATTGGTGTCAAACTATCTTCTAAATATCTGTGCTTATTCCCACAATGAGTGCTGCTGTTAGCTTTAATCAGAGAAGCTGCTTTTGCAGCAAGCAGGGCTACTGCAGTGACTAACTGGCCGAAGGAAGTGCTGAGAATAAGTAACACTGGTTGCTCATCCTTTAACAGAACGTCCATTTCACCCTCTCCAAGGCTTCGTAAATACTGAGGGAAAAGGGTAAAGATGCTAGAGCCAGAAGAAGGAGCAGAATGTTGCAGAATATTGTCTGTCTGTCTTTCAGGGATGGGTTGTGGCCTTTGTGCCCTAAGCATCTGTGATAACCTGTGTAAGACTGGGATCATCAACATTTCATCACTGAGCAGAGAGGGTCTCACAAGGCTCACCCCTTCACCCCTCTATGGGTCAAATGATTATCGAGGAGGGAAAGACATGTTCAGTGGTGTAGCCACTGCTAAATTGCCCATGATCCCACAAGATACCCTTGCTGAACACAGTGGTTCACCAAACAAGAATAAAAGGCATGAAAATAGAAGGAGGGTTAGCTGAGTAGTGGGAGGAAAAGGGAGCCAAGAAAGGGTTATACAGGGAAAATATGATGAAAACACATTGTAGACACGTATGGAAATACCATAATGAAATCTAGGATCCTGTATAATTAATACATGTTAATAAAATTTTTAAAGAACTAAGAAGAGTAGAAGGGATGTTGCTCCACTATACTAGTGGTATCTCTTTTCAACAGCTTACTGCAAACAATTTTCTCTCTGTTGTTATTAATTCTGCTTATGAATATAACACATTTCTCATGAAAGCTTTGGAAAATAGGGAAAAGTACAAATAATATATTAGAGACCACCTCTAACACCACAGTCCAGTGATAATCACATTGGAAGGATTTAGCATATTAGCATATTTCTTCCAGTGGTTTTACACACATATAATCGTGCTTTAAAATGCAAATTTATGATAGTTAATTTAATATACCCATGTTGTGGATATTCAATTTGTTTCCTATTACAAAAAAGCAATAATAAACACAAAATACATAAGTCCTTGTCTTTATTGTTTTCTCTCCTCCTTTTTTAAAGCCCCCAGGTTGACCTCAAATTTGACATCCCCCTGCCTCATTCCCCTCAGTGCTGGAATTACAGGCATGTGCCACTATGCCTGTTTTTTTTTAATTGTTTTCTTAGTACAGATCTTTGGAAGTAAGACTAATAGGGATTCATTACATTTGTGAATCAGAAATTATTCTCCAGATAAGCTGCCAAATTACTCTCCAAAAATAGTTTACACTTTTGTAACAACTTTGAAGAACCTTAATTCATTGGATTAATGACTATCTGAAAGCTTTACTTAGGCATAATATTTTTAAATTTATATGTGTACATGTATGAGTATACATACTTTCATGCATATGCCCGAAGAGGCCACCGGAGGCCAGAAGAAGGCATCAGAACTCTGTGATTCAGCAGCTTAGGTGCTGGGACCCAAACTCAGGGCCAGTACAAGCACAGTACCTGTTTTTAACTGCCAATGAACCCCTCTAAGCATTTAAAAGTCTCATTTCCCTTTCAATTAAGTTTCTGCAAGTTTTACTTCCTACATCAATGACAGCAAATACTTCCTAGTGTTTGTTATATGCCAGACAGCATGCCGTTTGCTTCGCTTACATTTTCCCTTTGAGTTTTCACAATACTTTTACGACACAGGGTCTATTATTACTTTCATTTTACAATTGAGGAACCGAAGCCTTCCAGAAGCCAACTAAGAGACTTGCTCTTGGTCACAAACGAGGAAACAGAAAGTCAGAAATGCCAAATAATTCTTTAAGGGACCTTTTTCAGAAAGTTCCTCACTTAATGAGGAACTGTGAAAAAGAAAACAGTAGTCAAGGTGCCAGCTGGCAGTGCATCCTGGACAAGTAATGAAAAGAATCGAGAGTATTTACAGGTCAGTTACAACTAAGCATGTTTAAGTTGTAACTGGGGAAATGGCTCAACAGTTAAGAGCACACACTGCCTTCCCAGGCACTCAAGGTCGTTCCCGGCACCTGTATTGGACAGCTCACATTACCTGTAACTTCTACTGCATGGAACTACGTAGCACGAATAATAAAAACCCAGAGACAGATATTGGGGTTCAAGCTGAAGATCAGAAACGCAGAGCAGCCAGCCGCTAGAGAGTTCTTACCTCTACCAAGGCTAAGACCAAAGAGGAACAGACTGCAGTGCTCTCCACCAAGACTGCACTGAGCTCCGGCCTTATATTCCTCTGTAGTGCTGGAATTAAAGGTGTGTCATCCCAAGTGCTGGGATCAAAGGTATGAGCTCTGTTTCTCTTTTAGATAGATTCACTCTCATGTAGCCCAGGGTGGCCTTGAACTCAGGAGATCCATCTGCCTCTGTCTCTCAAGTGTTAAGATTAAAGGTGTGGCCACCACTGCCTGTCATCTGTGGCTATCTAGTGGCTTAGGTGTGAGGCTAACTAGTGGCTTAGTTCTTAACTAAGTGTGTGACTAAGCTCTGCACTCTGATCTTCATGCAAGCTTTATTTGTTAGATTACAAACAAAATATCACTACAGAACAAGGCACCTTCTCCCAGCCCCTGCAAGTACTACACTTACACACACCTACCCAAAAGCTTACACACACACACACACACACACACAATACATATACATATACTTACATATATACATAAATTTTTAAAATCTTTTTCAAAAATTTAAGTCTATGTATTGTGTAAGCTGTCATAATGTTGAGTTTCTGTTATGGACTGAATATTTATGTCTCCCCAAAATTCCCATGTGGAAGCTTTAGTCCCCATTGTGATAGTACTCAGAGAAGGTACTCTTGAGAGATAATTGGGTTTAAATCAAGTCATGATGATTGGATCCCCAGGATGAGTTCAGTGCCTTAAGAGAAAAGATCAAAGTTTCTTTTCTTCACCACAAGAGAATGCAAGGCCAGGACAGAGGCCCTCACCAGAACCTGACCATGCTAACTAGGCTTCCAACCTCCAAAGATGGGAGAAAATAACAGTATCTAAGTCACACAATCTAACATTTTGTTACAGTAGCTAAGACAGTGTCTAGGTTTTTCAGGAAGAATGGCAAAGGACTTCCCTATAATAGTTCAACTTCACGTTAACCGTTTCTAAGGTCATTGAATGTCCAGGGTCATAATTCTGTGTGTGTAATACTGGGGTTTGAGTTCAGGACCTGTATGTGCTGTCCAAATGTTCCACACCACTCAGCAATATCTCTACTCCTTTTCTGGTTTTGCTTTGAGACAGTATCTCACCAAGTTGCCTTGAACTCCCCATGTTAACCCAAATAGACCTCACACTTGGGATTCTACTGCCTAAGCCTCTTAAATAGCTCTACTCAAGATTTCATAAATATTTTTAGAGGCAATTACTTTTATTAAAATGTTTGGGGCTGGGGTTGATAATACTCATCAGTAAAGCACTTACTGCATAAGTATGAGGAGCCGTGTGCCATCCCAGAGGCCACATAAAATGCCAGGCTTGCTAGCTTGCACTTACAATCTCAGCACTGGACATGCAGAGACAGGTGGATCCCTGGGTCTCACTGACCAACCAGCCTACCCTAGCCTTTGTGCTCCGGGGCCCAGTGACAGATTCTCTCTCAAAAAGCAAGATGAAGAGGCTTGGAGGGTGGCCCAGCAGTTAGGAGCACCTGCTCTTGCAAAGGACCATGGTTTGGTTCCTAGCACTTACAGCTAGTCGTAGCTCCAGTCCAGGGGATCCAGAGCCATCTTCAGGCTTCCACCAGCAACAGGCGTGCACCCAGGTCACGGCCACACACTCAGGCAAAACACTTATCGGTGTATACAAAGCTACACAAATCATTTTTAAAAACATGAACACACACACATACAGAGAGGGAGAGAGACAGAGATGGAGAGAAATGAAAGCCAGTGTCTCCCAGGATTAATTAATTAAAAATAATCACAAAATGTTTGTGTTTGTCGGGGGTAGAGATGCGGCTGAATTGGTAAGTTACTCAGCGTGCATACGTCCCTGGGTTTGACTTGAAGCACTACATAACCCTGGCATGGTGGTACACACTCGGAGAGGCACGAGATGGAGACCGGAGAAACAAGAAGTTCGGGCCACCCTCCGCTGTATAACGAGTCTCTATGACTTTCAACGTCTTCCTTAAGTCACCTTACTAGTTTTAGGACCGCATCATAACCACAGCCTTCCATGTCATCAGGGTAATTTTGTCATCTTGCTCTTTTGGAGATGTCATCTCAATTAGTAATTCGGAGCTAAATCAATTATATTCCTTTCTATATGCTCTCAAATTAAGCTACAGGCTCCGTAATGAGTGAATGAGTGAGGATAGCAGATGGTAGCCCATGCCTATGATCCCAGCACTTGAGGTTGAGATGGGAGGAGAGACAGTTCAAGGTCAGCCTGGCCTACACCGTGAGTTCTGGGACTGCCAGCCAAAACTGCATAGTGACATGTGGGGTATGATAAGAACCTGTGGGAGGGGTGATTCAGGATGGGGGGGGGGTGTTCCAGTGCCCAGAGAGTTCTCCGTCATACTTTAATGCATACATAATTGAATTAATTGATACAGAAAAGCTGAAGTACAGAGAGGCAAAGTTACGAGACCAAAGGTGTTCAGCAAACCACTGGAAGAACGAAGAACCCAGACGTTCTCTCCTGCTTCTTCCCAGAGCAGCACAGGTGACAGGGCAGAGTGGGCTTCAGATGGGACCTTCTGACTCAGTGGTTCTCAACCTTCCTAATGCTTCGACAGTTCCTCTTGTTGTGGGGACCCCCAACCAGAAAACTATTTTCGGTGCTACTTTGTAACTGTAAATTTTCTACTGTTATGAATTATAATGTGAATATCTGGTATGCAATTCCTGTGAAAGAGTCATTACACACACACACACACACACACACACACACACACACACACACTAAGGGAGTTGAGAACCATTGCTCTAACTGCTTTTCTCTCTTTCCCAGAAACTAGACCATCCCTGTCTGTAGCAGACAGGCCCTTGCTATAAAAGTGAGCAAACCCTCTAGCCGCCAGCAACTCTAAGGTAAGTTTATAGTCCTGGCCATACAGGCTGAGCCAGACTGAATCTCATGCTGTGAAATTTCCCACCACTCCCTGAAAAACGATGAAAGCCCCCTTTTCTCGGGGGATTTCATCTGCAGACTCGAGTCTTCAGGACCCCTGCCCAGGCGGTACAGGGCATCCATCTCTCCTGCAGAGCTCCGCTCCAGATTCCTGAGGGGAAGACTCTCTCTCCCTGTAAGTCTCCATCATGCCTCCTCCTCCGATGTGATGTGCTGTCCCTCCTGATGTCCTCCCTCCCCACCCCACCCCCAAACATGCAGCGCACACACACCACGGTCTGGAAGATGCGTCTGACAGCAAAGCTCCCCTCTGAGGGTAGCTGGCCTCAGCCTCCTCTCCAGGAACCCGCCAGCTGTTTGTTTTAGCAGCAAGGCACCCGCATTCTGTTCCACCAGCCTCTGCCCCTCCCCGCACGGGCCGAGCAGCAGTGTGTTCTGGAGGTTCAAACCAACGTTGCTGTGTATCTGGAAGCTTCAGAAGCAGCGAACAGCTCACACCAGCACGGCCACCGCGCACGAACCTCAAGCTGCGGCAACCGCCCAGGTCCTGAATAACTCCAGCCGCCCAGAAGCCAGTCTGGAGGCCCAGAAGCCGAGAAATCCGCAAGACCGGGAGTCTAGAGGCCCGGAAAACTAAGTCCACACTCAGCCAGTGGCCCCGATCCTGGCTCAGCAAGTCCACTAAGCACTGTGGGAGCATTCAGGACACTTAAGCTCACGCAACCTTTCTTCCTTTTTTCTCGTTTGTGCCAGAGGCATGATTTTTGTCACCACAAACTAGCAAACAAAATGTTAAAATAGTAATAAAATAAAAAGGCTGCCACAGCGCCGACTGTCTGAAAGGCTGCCTGGGCCTAATTGTGGCTAAATTTTAAATGTCATTTTTTGGCAGGAAGTTTCCAAAATTTAAGTGGAAAATGTTGTGGCCACTGGCCAAGTAGTCCAATTACTCAGTACATTTGGGAGTGAATTTTTTTTTTAGAAAAAAAGGTATAAAATGGATCTTTCTGCTGCCGAGTAGAGCATGACTATAATTCCAGCATTGTGAAATGGAGGTAGATCGTCTACAACTGCCTAGCAAATCTGAGATCAGCCTGGGTTACAGTAAAAAAGAAAAGGTTTGTAATGTGTTCAATTTTGACATTCTCTTCTATGCTTTATAAGTAGAATGGCATTATTTCATTTCATTCATGTAAAAACATTGTGAAATTCTCATGGGGTAATGTATATCAAACATTTGAAAGAGTACCATTGTTTAGAAAGCTTTCAACACACCGTGCTTTATTTGTTATCTCTTAAATTATCTCTGTATTTGTTATCTCTTAAATTTAGCAACTTAAAGATACAAATTTATCATCTTATTTCTGACAATCAAAACCCAAAGTAGCTTTGGCAGAGGTGGTTCTGGCTCGGGTCATGTGAGGTTGTTGAAGTCAATCAGTCAGCTGGGCACTTGAGTCTGCAGTCATGCCAGGGCTGAACTGGGTGGAGGCTTGGTTCCCCAGCTCACTCGTGTGGGGATGGGCAATTCTTAGTTACTAACAGTGTAAGCGTTTCGTCGGGATGGGTCAGGACAGGAACAGGAACAGGAGTGGGTCAGGTATTCTGGCACTCGGGAGTCACAGAATACCCAGTGTTACACAGCTCAGGTGGAAAGGTATCCTGGAGCTCGGGAGCCAAGGATACTGAGTGTTACACAGCTCAGGTAGAAAGGTATCCTGGAGCTCGGGAGCCAAGGACCACCACAGGTTGCAGTAAGCTTGGCAGCTTACAGCCTTGCCTCAGAGAAAGGCTTCTCCGGTGTGGCAGCTCCGCTCCGGCAGGACAGGGTCTTCCAGCTGGGGATGTTCGCCTAGTGTAGTAGTTTTGCTCCGCAGGAGGTTTCTCGGGCGAAGTTGTTACAGTTTAGCTCTGCTCCTGGAGAGCAGAGAGCAGAGAGCAGGGAGCCGGGAGCAGAGTGTAACAACTCCGCTCTGCCAAGGAAGGTTTCCCGGGCAAGTGTTACAGCGCTGCTCCTCTGCTCTGCTCTGCTCTGCCCAGGGTCGCCTCTGCTTGCTCTGTCGCCGCCGCAAAAGAAGATCTTCACCCGAAGCTCATCCAAAGGTGTTTATTGGAAGACAGCTGGACCAGCCAAGTTGAACATACACAGGGTTTATATAGGGGTTCCTGGGGTTGGGGAAGTTTTTCCAGGGTAGGGATTGGTCCGATTTCAGTGCTGAGCTCAGATTGGCTAGAGCTCTGCTCTGGGATTGGTTACTTTTTTACACAGGATTAGGGTCAGATTTGGCTCTGGTTTCAGGGCCAAAGTGTGTTTCTTTCTCTGGTCCTTTTTAGCCTTTTGCCTCCAATTTTAGGGCCAGGGTACATTTCTTTCACTGACTCTGATTCCAGGGACAAAGTGTGTTCCTTTGGCACTGGTTTTAGGGTCAGGGTACATTTCTTTGGTTCTGGTTGCAGGGCCAAAGTGTGTTCTTTGGCTCTGCTCAGGGTGTGTTTCTTTGACTGGTCCCTTTTCCCTACAAACAGGGCAGAAACATCTATTCCTCAAGGCAACTTCCCCACAGTCTCCACACAGCTCAGTGAAGGAAGTTCCCCAGAGCAAAGATTCAAAGACCAAAGCCAAGGTCACTTATGGCTTTGTCTCAGAAGTGACAGGTCATCTGTGCTTCTGGTAGTAAAAAGCTACACAAGCACTTCCGCTCCAGAAACAGGATCCATTTGAAGGCCAGGAACCATTTGGAGGCCATCTTGGAGGCTATTTACTACGTACTGCTTACTGTAAATCTTTTTTGAATTTGGGTTTCTGGCCCCAAACCTAGGGCTTCTCATTTGGTAGTACTGCAGTAGCTACCAAAACAGACAGGTAAATTATCCCACAGATGACTAAATGGAGAGTTCAGTGGGCCAGCAAGTCGAGGAAACAAAAAACTTAAGAAAATATTTTAGGTTTGGTGTTTTGGTGGGTTTTTGTTGTTGTTGTTGCTTGTTTTGTTTTGTGACTATTGAAATCATTACTCCGAATTTTCCGGAGTTTTTGACACTTAAGCATTGTTGTCGTTGTCTGAGTTTGTGTAAGGGTTGTTTGTTTGAGATAGAGTCTCACTATATGGCCCTGACCTGGATCTCACAGAGATACATCTGCCTTTACTTCCTGATGGTTAACAGTGAAGGTGTGCTCCACCCAACCCCACAGGTCTTGTTTTGTTGGCTGGTTAGCTGGCTGACTGACTGGCTGCTTTCTGAGATAGGGACTCACTATGCAGCCTTGGGTAGTCTGAAACTCACTGTGTAGACCAGGTTGTCCTCAAACTCAGAGACCTACTACTGCCCTCTCCCCTCCCCCTCCCCCCTCTCCCTCTCCCTCCCCCCACCGGCCAGCTTCCTGAGCACCATATACCACCATACCCGATGGTCTTAACTGTTTTAAAATAGTCTCTGTTTGGACTGGAGATGTAACAATAAACAGCACACTTGTTGAGGGCATAGGTAACTGTTTATTGTAGAAATTACTTTCAAGAGAAAACAGGCAACCAAGGTGACTCAGCAGCTTTCCGCCACAGAACCGGAAGCTGAAAAAAGAGCGTATGTCTCCCCTGCACGATCTTTTATTACCACCTCTAGCCACGCCCAAAGTGGGCATGGTGGGCGTGGCTAGCGGCGCAGTCCTAAAGTCTCTTCCTGCATGGAGAGATGGGTCAGTCATTAAAAGCACTGGCTATTCTTTCCCAGGTCTTGATTCCCAGGACCCACATGGTGGGGGACTCACAATAGTCTAAAACTGCAGTCCCATGGAATCTGATGCCTCTTCGGGTATGCAGACGAAATACCCATATATATAAACAAATAAATCTTTTTTGTTGTTTTGTTTTGCTTGTTTGGGGTTTGAAGGGGTTGTTTGTGGTTTTTTGCTTTTCATGACAGGGTTTCTCTGTGTATCCCTAGCTATTCTGAAACTCGACCTTCCCTCCACCAGTGAAAGATACCTTAAACATCCTTTGGAGCCAGGCGGTGGTGGCGCACGCCTTTAATCCCAGCACTTGGGAGGCAGAGGCAGGCGGATCTCTGTGAGTTCGAGGCCAGGCTGGACTGACAGCCTCCAAAACAATACAGAGAAACCCTGTCTCGTAAATACCAAAACAAAACAAAACAAAACACCCTTTGGAAAATGTTCTATGAATTTGTATGTGTCTCCATTCTCTCTCTCTCTCTATCTATCTGTGTGTATGTGTCTTTCCCTTTCTCTGTCTCTGTCTTTATGTCTCTCTGTCTTTCTCTCTGTCTATCTTCTCTCTCTCTCACACACACACACATACATACACACACACACAGAGATACACACACAAAACTATGTGTAGTAGTCTACAGCCTGCACCTGGCTTTTTCAACTACCAAAATATCTTTGAATTCTTTCCTCATGGGCTGGAGAGATAGCTCAGAGGTTAAGAGCACTGACTGGTCTTCCAGGGGTCCCAGCAACCACATGGTGGCTCACAACCATCTACAATTCAATCCTGTGTCCTCTTCTGGCATATAAGCAGAACATTGTATATGTAATAAATAAATAAATCTTTAAAAAATTTTTAAAAAAAGAATTCTTTCCTCATTAACATATAGCTCTATCAACTGAGAACAAAAACCAACATAGTCAAGAACCAAGAAAATTGCATTTATTCAGAGCTATTTGAATCCTAGAAATCACAAATTCAAGCAACTTTGAAAGTTCACTCCAAGGTCTTACAGAATGGCAGCTGTGTTTACCACTTTGGACATCAAGGAACTGAGACCAGTTCTGGGGAAGTGAGAGCGTCTTGTAAAGAAGGGGTTAATCCAGGTCTCAGTTTCTGGGTAATTCAAAGGAAGGGGTCTGCTAAGGGGAAGAGCAACTAGGAATCAAGAATGCTTCCGGGAAATGCTGCTTTGCTCAACCCACAGGTCAGCTTGAATGTGGGTGAAAGGGCACAGCTCACAGGTCTAGCATGGAAGTGTCTGACTGAGCACTTATTAACAGCGACCTCCTGACTCTTTGCTAAGTGCCCTGAGCCAGAGCGGCCCCATTTTGATTGTTGCATTCCTTGCCAAGTCTGCATCATTCTTTGGAACCCTGCAGGGTTCTATAATTATAACTCTACCGTGGAGTACGTCATCATTTATTCAACCAGTTGCCCTTGGGTGGATGATTAGGCTGTGTGCTTTGTTTGTGTCTGGTACAAAGTACAATGAATAACAATCTATATACCTCTGAGTATAAAGAAGAAATATGCTGGGTAAAACTTAGGGTTTCACTAATTTCCATAATTAAATGCTATGTGTATTTCGGGCTATGGCATGTGTCCTGTGTGTGTGTGTGTGTGTTGTGCTCACAAACTCATGAACAAGTTAGAAAACATCTTGTGGGAGACAAGTCTGTCCTTCCAGGAATTGAACTTAGGCTATTAGGCTTGGCAACAAGCTTTTTTTTTTTTTTTTTTTTTTTTTTTTTTTTGTCATTCCAGACAGGGTTCCTTTGAGTAGCCCTGGCTTTCCTGAAACTAGGTCTGTAGACCAGGCTGGCCTCTGCCTCTCCTGCCCCTGCCCCTGCCCCTGCCCCTGCCCCTGCCCCTGCCCCTGCCTCCTCTGCCTCAAGTGCTAGGATTAAAGATATGCAACACCAACACCTGTTGGCAACAAGTATTCTTTACCATTGAGCCATCCCACAGCTCAGGATGATCTGAGATTCTACCTGGGATGTAGAGGAGCCCCCTGTGCTGGTCAGTGCTCTACCGCCACCCAGTGGTATGGAGAGGAGTTACCACAGGCCCTCTGAGGCTCTGTTTCCTGATGGAGTCAAGTCCTTGCTTTCTAAGCAGGTTGCTGAAACAAGCAAATCCAAATACAGGACACTCAAAAACTTACATTTTGGATGAACAACAAATAACTTTTTACTTGAGTTATACTTACACTTTTAAAAAAGGAGTTCACTTACCTGAAATCCAGATTTAACTAGGTAATCTGTAATTTATCTGAGAATTATTTTTTCAAGGACTTTGACAACTGAAGTTTCCAGAAAAGCAGCCACACCTGTGTTAAAGATTCTACGAGGCTGATTGACAGATTAGACCATCCTGAACAGAGAGTTTGGATGTTGCAAATATAGAGCCAAAATTATCTTGAGCTGTCTCTAGTCCCCTTAGTAGCCACTTATTAGCTATTTCTGTGCCTGGCAAAGCATCTTTTCCACTATAGGATAAATTTTATCATATATTAACTTAGCAGACCATGATATTTCACTGTTCCAAAAGCTAAGAATGTCACAAGACAGCATCTGAAACCTATGGGACTCAGACTCAT